TCGTCAAGATCCAAGAGACTACGCTCAACGAGGGTCACCCATCTCGGCTGGCATCGCAGCACGCGCTTGCTGGTGCATACCAGGCCAACGGGCAGGCAGAAGAGGCGGTGAAGCTGCTGCAACATGTTGTCAGGATCAAAGAGTCACTATGGCAGAGACCCATCCATCTGGACTTGTGTTAGAGCGTGCATTGTCGTACTGCCAGAGCACGCTAAAGTAGAGAGTTATGGTGGGTTAGGCGTTCTCTCATTTTGCACCGCCTGGTTGTGGAGGAACTCAGACGGTGAAGCGCAGGGGTTCAGAGCACCAAGATGCAAGATTAGAAGCTGGTCTGTGTACCATGGATTCAAGTCTAAAGCGCCTTGTTCACCCGCACCGCTTTGGACTTCAACAAACCAACCTCTGCCTCTGGCGCATGGAACGGGCTATGCCTGCTTAGCGCCTTGGCTAGCGCGAGCCTTGGAGCTCAGTACAGCCACACACACCAGCGCACAGCCAGCAAACCTCACCAAACTCATCTGATCCATCTACCCTCAGCATCAGCAACAGAGAACGTTGGGTTGGAGGATTGCACGGCTGTGCTTTGACGGGTAGACTACTGTCACAATCCTGTGTCCCACACGGCAGATGGCACAGCAATAAGTAACCACCAAGCAGACAAGACAGTTATGAGCAGCCGCAGCCGCAGCAGGAGGGCTCAGTAACACCCGAGACTCATTCTAGTGCGGGCAAGCGCAAGGGCTCGCGGTGACGAACACATCACTTCAACACTGCGGACGTGCCATACAATCATACTCTAGAGGTGCTGATCCACCACACATACACGCTCATCCTCCCCTATCGAACATCTACTAAGTCTGTCTCGGCGAACCTATAGCAATATTTATCAAGCTCTACAGACAAAGCGACTCTTGCTTAGCAAGCCACATGAGTAGGGTGGTCGCACTCTTGCAGTTCTGGACATTTCGGTCGCCGCAGGAAGCAGCAGCAGAACACGGCTGTAGGGTGGCAATTTCGTTGCGAAGTCGTGGATTACTTGAACAGTTTGGAAGAGGAAAAGTCGGGAAAGACTTGTGGTGCTCAATCGAGCAAGCAAGGGCCCACGTGCAGCGCAAGACTTCATGCAAGGAAAAGTGATAAACCAAGATTTACAACTAGGGAAAGCATCACATCGGCACAACAAACGAGTCAACGTCTAGCAATGCTATTCCTACGTATTCCACATTCACTCCTTACAATCATCACATCATATCCACCCTCCTACTTAGCCTGCCCCGGCGACCTCCCAGCGAAATTCATCTGCGCCAACGCATCCCTCGTCCAACTATCATTACTCGCCGTGCTATCCCGATTCGCGACTCTCAAACCCCCACCACCTGCTCTCCCACCATACCCATCATCCTCGCTCGAGTACTGTCTCTGCAAGTCATCTTGCCCAGAATTCTGCACCTGATACTGTTGTTGTTGTTGTTGTTGTTGTTGAGGAGGAGGAGGATCAGGCTGGTACTGCTGGAACTGCATGGGATGATATTGCATGTGCTCTTCGGGTTTTGCGCTGCCGACGCGGAGGACGGAGGGTACGGGGTCGGCGGGCTGTTGGGGTTGGTATTGCTGCTGCTGCTGTTGGTAGTGGCCGTTGTTGGAGGGGCCGTCGATGGGGCTGTCGAAGACGCCGGCGTCTGCTGGGTCGACGGGCGAGTAGTCCATCATTGGGTTGTGCTGCAGGCTTGGATTTGGTAAGAAGTTGCGTCTTGATTCTGTGGGTGTCCGCTCGTTTCTGTCGCCGTCGTCGAATGAGGGGCCAGGATAGTTTGGGTCGAGTGATAGCGACTGTGTCCGGTTCTCTAGCTCCGGAATGCTTTGTTGGGGTGGGTAGTTGCCGTAGCTTTGGTTTGACTGTGCTGGCATTTCGGCGAGGCCCGGTGGGTACTGAGGCTGCTGTTGCAAAGAGAGCTCCTGCATTGAGGCGCGGTGCGAGAGATGCATGTTCAGCTGTGCTTGCGCTGTAAGACCGAGTGTGCTGCTTGCGCGCAGAGAGCCCTTGGTGCTGGCTGGACCTCGCAAAAAGGTCGATGTGCTGGTTCGACCGACCGGCTCTTCGCTGATCATCTGCGCATCGGAGCCATTGGGGTCGCGGATGCTGTATTGGGCGATGGTGCGCATCTTGCGAGTGACCCAGCCTGCGAGGATCTTGCCTCTTTGCTTCTCACCGAGACGCGAGCGGTGGAAGTCACCCTTCGAAACGAAAGCGACAATGTCGATAACGAGCTGGTGCTCGTTCAGGACGGCATTGACAATGACAGGTACCATGGATGCAAGGAAGTTGCGGCGGAAGATCTCCACAACTACAACGACTAGGCCTCCAGCCTGGAAAACGGCACAGCCAGCGGGGATGATGTTCCGGTGGCAGCGTTCGACTGATTGTTCAATGTCCATACTAAAGTGGTTCAGGCCATTGACGTCAAACGTGTCTCCGATGCTGCCAAGTACAAACAATACCTGCATGTCGACTGGTGCTCCGCCAGGGCCAATAGGTCTTGTCACGTTGTGTAAGAACCCCAGGTCTCCAGTACGCACATATCTGACATTAGGGTCTCCATCAAGAGTTCTTCCGTTGAATCGTTCCGCATCCAGACGCTCTTTAGAGCCATAAAAGCTGTGTGCGTTGGCTTCAGATTGTACCCAGATCTCACCGTATTCTCCAACCAGACAGAGCTGGTTGGTCTCTGGGTTGACGATACTGATTTGCGTGCTCACGGGCACCATACCGGAGTCTTGCACTTGCAATGCATTTGACTCGACGTCTGGATCTACCGGCATGATTAGACCACGTCGTAATGCGTTCACATCAAGATGCAGCTCGATTGGCTCGATGCACATGTATGACCGTGACGCAACCATAGGGTTCAGCACATGGGAGTATACTGTGTTGATGGCTGTGCGGTCGAGGCCGCCGGGAGCAAAGTGTACGCGACACCGTTGGTCTATCGTTGGGTTAGCACGTGTTAGCAATAGAGCGACATCTAAACTTACAAACATCGACACGAGGTCGACCATCGGTCGCAATCATCAGATTCTTCAGTTCATGGAGATGCATTGCCTTACCTGCACCTCGTGCTATGGCGTGGTCCAACATCTGGCTTGTCGCATATGCATCCTTGATCTTGTATCTAGACATAGTCTGGAACAACAAGTTGGGGTTCTGCGCAAAGTCGACCGGCGAAACAAGATATGTAGGTGCAGCCAGAAAAATACCCATGATGCAGGTATGTATGAAACCCAGACCGACAGTACTTCGTACACAACCCAGAACTGGCCTGGTGCTGGTCATCTGACAAGTCTCTTTCTGGACCTTGCAGAGGGCCATAATGTTGTTGTGGCCTAGTTGCACAGCAATGCGCCGTTGGTCTGGCGTCCAGTATGTCCAAACGAGAACAGGATATCCGGCTTGAACCCAAGCAGGCCTAATGGTCAGGCCCAAGTCACGGCACCCGCTTGATTGCTTAGGTGGCTTTGTCGTGTTGTAGATGTGCGGAATGTTTACCTTGAGGATAGCTGCGGATTGCTTGAGATGTTGCGATACTTGCTTGACCTTCATGAGATGGTCAACATCAACGTTGACTAAAATAGCCTTAATCTTGAAGTCTGCAACGATGTGAAGTAAAGCAGGCGCATCCTCGTTGAGCCGGTTCTGATCAATGGGGGCCATTGGGATGGCGACGGCACCTAGTACGAAACAGGCGTGTACGGCATATACAAAGTCCTCGGAATGCGTGTACATCAACAGAAGATGATCGCCAGCATGGACCTTGACCTTGTTTCTCAGGTACATGGCAACACCGGCAACCTTTTGGTCGAATTTCTTCCAGTTGACGCCCTTGCCTTCTTTGCCTCTACCATCAATGGTACAGTAAGCGAGCTCTTCTGCTTGACGGGATACGCGCCATTGCATGAGGTCGTGGATGTTTGAAAACTGATTGAGTGGTGTTGATGTGCGGTCGTCGATGACAACTTCTCGGTGGTCGACTCCAGAGTACTGCTTATCCTGCAGCATCAGGTACTGCTGTCGAGCTATGGAGGCATCATAAGACCACATTCCTCCTGCAGGATCATCGCCCAGAGCGATGTTCTGCACCGATCGTTCCACGCCAAACTTGACGTGAACGCAAGGCAGCGAACCGTTGTCGAACTCTCGACGGCAGAGCATGTTGCCAATCTCACGTCTGCCGTTCTTCATAACTCGAGGCAGTGTGTTGGGTGCTGTGATCATCACACAATATACTCTCAGATGATGTTCCTGATACAGCACTTCCATACAGCGCTCCGACAAGGAGTCCAGGAAAGGTACATCGAGCTGTTGTGGTGGACCGCCTGGATTAGTAGGCGCTGTCGACGCAGCCTGCGTTTCGATCAGAATGATAGGCAGATACTCGCCGTTGACGTAAGAGTCGAACGCCGAGCTGCAGCATGTTAGCAGCGTTCATGAGCACAGATTAGCTCAACTCACCAGTCATAAATCTTAGGCACCGACTTCATGATACTCGTGACTAGGTGCTGCACGAAGAAGTAGCGATGTTCGGCTTCCAAAACGCCGTGCTCAACCCACTCGACTCGTTGACGAATCCTGTCTTCGTAAAGGCCGAGCACAAAGATCTTTCCTTCGACCACGCATCCGAGGAGTCCTGTGCGGAGGAACTCAAGCTCCAGTAGCTGCGGAGTTGGGCTTCCCTCGACAAAACGGTAAGGACGAGCGTGGAAAATTGTCTCGGTGTGCTTCTGCAGCTGCCAGAAACCACCCGAGAGCGATGGTGAATCTACCCAAATCTCTCCTACCGAGTAAGGAGAGCAAAGCAGATTCGTCTCTGGATCTACAACAGCAAGAGTGGCGTCTGGGATAGGATATCCAAAAGCACCCACCCTCATTGTGCCTGGCTCGTTTGCACGCTTGCTGGCTTCCTCTCCAATAGCCACCACCACGATCTCGTTCATCTTGAGCGCTTCCTTATCCAACAGAATCTCCAGCAGTTCGTTGCGGCTCTTCTTCTGCTTTGACTTCTTGTTGGTGGTTCCACCACCTATTAGGCTTGAGTAGCCGTTGGTGTTGTTCTCCACCTCCTTATCGTCGTCTTCTTCATCCTCTTCCTCTATGCTCAATGGACAGCCCATGCGCTCTTCTCCACCGAGCCAATCGCGGACAGAGACTATCATACCGCCATGTTCAGGTAAGCAGAGCATGGGCGCGATCAACTCGCGTCCTCTTGGGTTTCGTAGAGGCCTGAACCATCGATCTCCTAGAATGTCGTGGAATTCGCAGTCTACAGTAAGCGTGTCAATGAGACAGATCTTGACTGATCCAAAGTTGGGATCCGCATTCTTCTTGTAGTTACGCGTAGCCATCGGGTCCTGCTGATAGTTGTATGCAGCACGCTTCAGACCCGGGTAGTCTGCGATGAGGATAGTTGCCTTGTACTTGGTAATGAGATGCGCGTAGAGGCCAGGAGTGTCCATAGTCGGCGGTTCCAGCCAAACCGTGGTATGTCCGCCATACACAGCATACAAAACCCCCAGGATCATGCCTGCGCTTTCACGCGGATCAAGATAGCTAAGAATGACTTCGGTGGGTGACGTTCGGGAGGGCGGTGCAATGAACTTGCCGTTCTCGTCCCGCAGGTTGCCGCTGAATGTATCCGAGGTTTCGCGCCCGGTTGGGATGGTGGAGACGATCGCGCTGACGCAGGCCATTTGGTGCATGATGGTACGATGGCTGAGTACGACACCTCGCAGATCGCCAGTCGGTGCGCGCGAAAACTCGATGTAAGCTACCTCTGGAACCTGCAAGGCTGGTGTGTCATCGTGCTTCTTAGGGTGATGGCTCCCGAATTCATTTGTCTTCCACCACTCGACTCCACTGGGCCACTTGAGCCGGTTCTGGCTGATGTCGCGATGGAAGGCCTTCAGGTTGTTGTCCGTAGTCAGAGCAAGATGGGCTTGCGTGGTTGTCAGGAGAAGAATGAGCTTCTGGTAGTCATCCACACTGTTGATGGGCACTGCGACAACGCCAGCGATGAAGCAGCCCAGCAAAGCAACGACGAATTCAATGATCTCGGTATCTCTGTACACCAACGCTACCCTGTCGCCTCGATATAGGTTGCTCTTGTCCCTTATGACCTTTGCGACTTTCTCGGCGCGACTTGCGACCTTCTCCCATGATATAGATGCCGTTTCCTTGCCTTTCGAGTCAAGTACCCAGAACGCTGTTTGGCGTGGCTGCGTGCGGCCTCGATGGCGCAAAACGGCGCCGATGTTATCGAACTTGGACATTTGGATGTTCGGGTTGTGTGGGTCGTACACGTCGAAGGGCAAGTCTCGCGGTTCCAAGGGCATCATGGTCTGGATGACGGCGCCGTGCGGGAGGTCGCTTGGGTTCATCATGGGCGGTGGTATCGCGGCGGTTGGCGAGAAAGCATCTCCAGACGAGTATCGGTTTGGTCCGCCGTATGCGTCTGGCTGGTCCTGCATCTGCTGGCCTGTGAAGTCAGAGAAGTAGCCCTGGTTGACATCAAGCATGGTACTCCTCCGACTCGCATCTCCACCGGGCGACCCATAACCACCGTCATATCCTTGCGGCTGCGTGTCTGGGTTGAAGGCATAGTTGGAGCCCATCATGGTGCCCTCCCGCGAGTAGTTGTAGTCGGGCGTCGGTGGTCGGGGAATGAAAGTCTCGCTGCCCTGGGACGGCGCTCGTTGCAGCGACGAGGTGCGCAGGCCCAGCTGCTTCTCCTGGAAGCGCCCGACCTGGCTGGGCGGGTAGGCCATGTACTGGGTGTTCCCACCCACGGTCGTAGCGGAAGGCGCATATTCAAAGTTGGACGAGGCGATGCTCGCGCGAGGGTCGAAGACTGGTCCTTGAGGGCCGGAAAGCGCAGCGAGCGATGCGGTGCGGGATGCGGAGCGCTCGCTCTGTGCTGGGCTCTGTCGCAGCTCCTGCTGCAGCTGCGCCGTGTATTCCGGGCCCAGGTACTGCGACAGGATGACGGTTCTGCGCTTCTCATAGCTGTGCGGGTCGTTAGCGCAGATCTGTGGACGTGCTGGACGTGCTGGACGTGCGACAGGTGACGTGACGGGCTACTGGAAATTGGTGTGGGGAAGTGATGGACGCGCTGACGGACCCTTTTTGCGTGATGTCGCCCTCTTCCAGCTCGTGGTCCAGCTCCTGGAGCTTCGCCTGCAGCTCGGGGTGCGCGTCCGCCATGGTGGGATCTCCAAAATCGGGAAGCAACGATCAAGTGGTGGCGGCTCGCGACATGTCAATCCGGCTCGCGGCGTCTCTCGGACAGCTGTGGCAGACCTCGTGCGAGCGCTGCGCGTGAAGAGCGGCCTCAGTCGACCGCAGGGCTGGTGTGTAGTGAATGTCCGAAATAATGCTCAACGGCGCACATTGGCAGGCTATTCAGGAACACATCCATCAGCGAACCAAGGAGCGCCCAAGGGGCGCCCATGGACGTCATCCTAAGCGCTTAACACGGTTAAGGCGCCTTCGCCAGATCGCCGTTAGTCAGCCCTGCTGCCGAATCGAGCTGGAGCAGTCTGCATGAGGAGGCCAACCGCGTTGTCTGTGAATCATAATTGGGATCTGTAGGCTGCGATAGAGCGCGATCCCAACTAAGCCTAAAACATATGTCGTCGTCTTCCATTCATCGCACATGCGCATTTTTGCATTGCCGGTCTTTCTGCGGCAGCGCGTCCGCTTGGGTGCAGCTATCTATGCCTCGGCTCGAGGATAACCATGGACACTCGCCGTGTCAAGGTGTCGACATGCCATTGCACATGCACACAATCCGTTCTCCTTTCCAGCGACTGACCTCCAGCAACCCACCTTTCTTCCTTCGCACACCCATAACTCCGTGATCATGGCGACCCTCATCCGCCCACCACCTGTGAACGAGAACCAGTCTCACATCGAGAATGTCCTCGAGCTGACCGAACTGACCGACATCGACCCGGATCTGTTCACGAACACCCGGCCTATGTGGCATCCGCCGGGTGCCAGAGGCATCTTCGGCGGTGCTGCCATTGCGCAAACCCTCAGTGCGGCTCAGAAGACGATCCCTGCAGACTTCACGGTGCACTCGATGCACTGCTATTTTGTGCTGGCTGGAAACGCTGAGATACCCATCATATACCATGTCGAGAGAGTACGATCAGGCAAGTCGTTTGCGACAAGAACCGTGCAGGCCCGACAACGGGGCAAGGTCATCTTTACCACGACTATGAGCTTCGTGCGGCAAAATAGCGGAGGGGAGAAGCTGGTCGAGCACACGTACCCCATGCCAGACGTACCGGATCCAGAAGAAGGAATGGATGACTTGGACACTCACGGCAACGACAAGGGTCCGTTCCAGAGCCAGCGGCTGGAAATTTTGAATGGTATTCACCTAAGACGTACAACCAGTGGGACGTGAAGCTAACACCCACCAGACAACTCCCCGTTTCCTCACACCAAGAAGTGCAGGCAGTGGATGAAAGCACGCGGCACCATATCTCCCGAGGGCGGACACGAAGCTCACCTCTCCGCCATCGCATACATGTCAGACAGCTACTTCATCGGCACTATTGCCCGTGTCCACAAGCTCTGGCGGTACTCTACACAACGCAAAAACAAGTCCAAGTCCAGCATCGACGAGGACGTCCTCAAGAAGCTGCTCGCCATGGACGACGCAGAACTGAAACGCCAGAAATTCCTAGACGAGGCAGACATAAAGCGTATACAGAGGGTAAGGAACGGCGAAAGCCTAAGGAAGGACAACACCCCAGAGATCGGCATGATGGTCAGCCTCGACCACACCATCTACTTCCACAACCCTCGAAACTTTAGGGCAGACGAGTGGATCTTCACAGAGATGGAGACAACCTGGGCTGGTGATGGCCGCGGTCTTGTCTTCCAGAGGATGTATACTCGCAATGGCACTCTTATCGCCAGCTGCGTACAAGAGGTTCGTACAAGTAAACAATAGCGCGGCGCGAATACTGACCTTGTATAGGGACTGGTTCGATTGAAACAGACTGACGGCACACCCAAACTTTAGACGGGGATGATCTACTCATGTACAGCATGTAATTGACATTTGAGCGATATGTCCAGCTCCTTCGCGTATACTAGTTAGCTTTGATACCACAACTACTTTATCACCTTTCTTGACAGATCAGATTGGCTCATTTCTCAGAACTGTGCAGGGGAGGGCAAGCTTCCCTCGTTCTCGGCCGCAGCTAGTGACCAGGGTCTTCGCTAGCGTGCCTTGCACTTGACGAATGAAGCACCGAGACAGCAGCCGAGGGCATCAGTCCCTCCTCACCGTTGCAGACGTCCACTGCCTCAATATGCGAATATAGGACATCTGATAACCCTTTGAGGGCGTCACACTAGTAACCGCCAAATTCCAAGCTCGAGCACCCGAAACACGATCCCGAAAACCTGGATATAGTCGCTCAAATTGCACAACACCAACACCAGCCAATCACTGAGCGCACAAAACAATCGACATTCACTACCCAAAGCGTCGCATGCCAAAAGCTTGGGCAGTCGCACTGGGCTTGAGGCATGAACAGCAAACAGGCAGCTTGTTTGAACTGCCGCCGAAGCAAAATCAAGTGCCGGCGCGATGAGGGAGCGCCAAACTGCGAAAGATGCACGCACCTGGGAGCTGAATGCGTGATACCAGAATTCCACATCGGCAGGCAGAAAGGCGTGAAGAAGTGAGTAGTACAGTACCAGTTCGACTATCACACTTACCATATCCCAGCAAACGGTCAGGCCTCGAGAAAGCCATCTTCCAAGTTGAAGAAGCAATCAAGAAGCGCAAATCTGATGCGCCTTCCCATCGGAGCACCCTGGAGCAGCTGCAGAAGCTGCTCAACGAGGCGCAAAATGACGATAGTACACCACCTGCTCAAACGCCCGGATTGAACAGCATGAATGACCCATTCGCGTCCGACTCGAGAGACATGAAGCCTCCCGCAACACTTCAGCTTTCTGAAAGAGATCATGCAGGGGGCTCCAGCGACGACCAACTTGCAGTCGAAGACGTCGAAAATCCTCTGCAACTTCTAGCCCGCGCATCAGATCTTCGCATCACGTCGCCACATACTCTCGAGAACAACATCTCAACACCCGGAAGTAAAATTAACGGCAGTGAACACAGCGCGTTTTTGGACGTGCACCAGTTCTTCCTACCGATGAAAGCCAATTTTGACCAAGGACCAGGCTACGACCCTATCGATATTGGACTAGTGACTAAGGAGGAAGCAAAGACGCTCCTCACATAGTAAGTCGTTTACCAGTACGCTTTACATGCGCTTACTTTACCAATACGCTTTACATGCGCTTACGCGAACAGCTTCCACCAAAAGCTGGCGCACACTCGGTGGGGCCTTGATCCTATGGTGCACACACTGGACTTTGTCCGGTACCGCTCGTCGTTTCTCTTCACCACGCTTCTGGCATTCACAGCTGTGTTTTTGCCCGAGACTGCCTCTCTGGCCAAACGATTGCTCATCCATCGAAGGTTTTTGGCAGAGCAGGTCATCGTTAAGAAGTTCAGATCTGTTGAGATTGTACTGGCGTTCATGGTCAGCATTCCTTGGATGCCTCCTGGACAGCATGCCACCGACGACGATACGAGCCTCTACCTTGCCACCGCTCTTTCAATCGCTCTAGACCTTTCTCTAGACAAGGTTATTACTCCGTCCTCGACATTCAATGCAGACCTTATCAGGCAAGTACCTCGAGGCGAATGCCTTGATGCTGGCAAAGCCTTAGCCATGGACGGCCTCGAAGATGTTGATGCAGATTCGGCCTGGGGGAAGAGGTTATTGCGCCGAAGGGAAAGAACCTGGATTGCACTCTTTGTTCTGGAACGAGGTGTGTGTCTGGCCCGAGGTCGCAGCTATTGTGTCCCAAAGACACCACTAATCCAGCACTGCGATTATTGGCCTTCCAGTCTGGACTCAGACCTGCAGGATGGTCCGCTGGTGTCCATGGCAGCTCTTCGCAGAGATCTCGACGATTTATTCGCCAACGTCAGGGCGAGATGCGACAGCTATCGCGTCATTGATGTTGGTCTCAAGGTGGCACATGAGATCGAGAGGGCAATTGATGAGTTCTTCGACAAGTGGCTTCATACATGGACGTCGGTCATTGGCGACTTCGAGCATAAGACATTGCCGCCTTATGTCGAGATTCTCGTCACACATACCAGGCTTTCCACATACAGTATGCTACTCAACCACCCTAGCGCACCGCCAGAGGTCAAGCGGTCCTTCCGGGCCTCCGCGGTGTCTTCGGCGCTGAATGTCATGCGAGCCGCCATCCAAGGCGAGTCGCGTCTCAAGTCGATGCCGAACAATACAGTCACAATGATTTGCTTTGCTGCAAGTATCGCCCTTGCCCTGAGCGCACCGACGTCTAGGAAGCGTAGCAACCAGAACCTCGCACCCAGCGTTCGCAAGCTCATACAAGAGACTGCCACGGTCCTGGAGCGCATTGGAAGCACACCAAGCCATCGCAACGGCGCATCTGTTGTATACGGTCGATTCTTACGAGTCCTCGTCAAACAAGCACCTAGCTTGGAAGCAGCATCTGCAATGGCTTCACAGCCGTATGCACTCCCAGTTTCACAGCACAATCTCGGTTTGTCTCCGCCACTTGCGGATGGTACACAGCAGTTCCCTTCTCTGGAATCTATCTCAGGCTTTGGCGACCCGCTGCCGTTCTCCGCCATGTCCTACAATGAGGTGAACGAGGCGGTGACCAACCTGGACTTCTTCACGACCCCACAGCTGGACATCTGGAATGATGAAAACTCATACATGTGGAACGACATGATGAATCTGCCGGACTTTAACTTTCCTTGAGGAGCCCCTAGACTCATCTTGCAGTTGAACGGAACCCTGCAGTGCACAACAAGGGCAGGAGTCCAGCTTTTGACCAAGCAGTCCGTAAGGTTGCTTGTGCGTACAGCTTAGCACTTCGACTCCAGAATTGAAACTGCCGAGCAGCACATACCATCTCAACATCGGACGTTCTTTTGTTCGACTCTCAAGGCCCAGCTCTGGGCATGGAGGATGAGCGGCTTCGGCGTTCCATCCGGGAGGGCTTTGCCGAAGAACGCCTGACTAAGCTCCTGACTGCCTCTCACAGCCGCGGCGGAAGACTCGCTGTCTGTGCTTCGGGCATTCTTTTGGCGCCGATGTCCCTGGAAGCTCTTACCCTGCATCGCGTCATCGTGTTGCCGACGAAGCTCTCTGCGCGCTCGACGGCTCTTGTTCTGAAGTGGGACCTTGACACCAATAGTTCTTTTCCGCTCTCGCCCGAGGCCGCGAAGCTCGTAAATAGTACTGCTGTCTGAATCTCTCGCGCAACAATACCCATCTTCTGCACCTCACAATGGACGCACTACCTTCATCATATCGGCTGCTTGCCGCTCTCCCTGCACGATTATGCGCACGCCGCCCACTTCCCTCACAATTGCGCGCTGCGCGCGTAGCACCACCACATTGGCGATTCACAAAGCAAATACGGAGCATCAGCGCGGTAGCAGGCAAGGCGCCAACGATTGACCGATCAAAGTCAAAGCTTTTCGATAGCGCCGATGAAGCTGTCGCAGATGTACAATCTGGCTCTACAATACTCAGCGCAGGTTTCGGACTCTGTGGTGTCGCAGAAACACTTATTCAGGCCCTGCAGAAGCGCGGCCCAGAATCGTTACACTCGTTGACTGCCGTATCCAACAACGCTGGTATCGAGGATGTCGGTGGACTTGCACATCTTACGAAGAATGGACAGGTCAACAAGTTGATCATCAGTTTCTTGGGCAACAACAAGGCGCTTGAGAAGCAGTACCTGAGTGGTGGCATCGAGATTGAGCTTTGTCCGCAGGGTACGCTGGCGGAGCGTATCAGGTCAGCCGGTGCTGGAATCCCAGCGTTCTACACACCTACTGCTGTGAACACACTACTACAGGATGGCAAGATTCCCGCAAGATTTGACAAGGAAGGCAAGGCGATCGGATTCGGTACGAAGAGGGAAGTACGGGAATTCAATGGCAAGAAGTTCCTAATGGAGACTGCTCTGCCTGGTGATGTAGCCATCATCAGGGCACACAAAGTCGACGAGGCGGGCAATTGCGTCTTCCGGTAGGCAAGCTAATCAATCATGCAATTGAGTCTCCTAACTTTATGTCTAGATACACCACAAAAGCCTTCGGTCCCATCATGGCCAAGGCTGCACGCCTCACCATCGTCGAAGCTGAACACATCGTCCCTATCGGTACCTTTGACGCCAACGAGATCGACCTCCCCGGTATCTTCGTCGACCGCATCGTCCCCGCTACAGTTCCCAATAGCATCGAGATCAAGAAGCTGCGCGACCCCTCATCCTCCGGCAAACCCGCAGCGGGACACCGCGCACGCATCGCGAAGCGCGCAGCAAAGGAGCTCAAGCAGGGCTACTACGTCAACCTGGGTGTCGGCATCCCAACAGAAGCAGCGACATACGTTCCCGACGGCGTCAAGGTCTGGCTACAGAGCGAGAACGGCATTCTTGGCATGGGTCCTCACCCCACAGAGGAAGAAGTCGACGCCGACATCGTCAACGCAGGAAAACAGACTGTCACTCTCCTCCCCGGTGCCTCGACATTCGACTCCAGTGAGTCCTTTGGTATGATCCGCGGCGGCCACGTCGACGTATCCATCCTCGGCGCGCTGCAAGTCAGCGCCTCAGGCGATCTGGCAAACTACATGGTACCCGGAAAGGTGTTCAAGGGGATGGGCGGCGCCATGGATCTCGTTAGCAACCCCGAGGCCACCAAGGTTGTCGTCGCGACCGAACACGTTGCTAAGGATGGAAGCAGCAAGATCGTCCAGGAGTGCAAACTGCCATTGACCGGCGCAAAGTGTGTAAGCACTATCATTACAGATCTGTGTGTGTTTGAGGTTGACAGGGTGAATGGTGGGTTGACGCTTACTGAGATTGCGCCGGGCGTTACTGTTGAGCAGGTTAGGGAGAAGACTGATGCGAAGTTCAAAGTTGCGGATGATCTCAAGAGTATGGAGGGTGATGCTCAGATTGAGGGTGCTTAGTTGAGTATCTTGGACTTCCTTGTAGCATACCCTAGATAGCGTTCAGTCAATTGCACGATTACCAGTTCATAACAGAATCATCCGGGTGTGGAGGCAAGCATGACTTCACAAGGCATGAGCCCTCGGTGGCCTCTTGCTTGTTTGTGGGCTTGTTGTTCCTTTCACCCATTGTGATCAGGCGAGAGCACCCGTCTCTCAACCAATGCACTTTCAGACCTCAACACCACAACGGCATAACAATACCGCTGCGCCGGCTTATCACTGGCTTTTCTTGCCATATCAATCGACGATCTCCATGCTGTCGCAATATCATGACAGTACCTACTACGCTAGTTTGTGGTACTCATTGCTCTCATTCTGCGTCAAGAGTCACATCATCAGCTAGCATTCACGAACCCCAAGGCGACACCAAATAGTGATCGTCGATCTGCTTGATGAGCTTCATATGTCCACGCCCCTGTCCCGATCAGTTTTCTTTTTCCAATGGAATGACTTCAATATCTGGGCGTTGCCCGGATTGGACCATCAGAAACCAAGTCTCGCAAGCATGGCGTAGTTTGCACTTGAGTCAAACCCCTCGAATCTCAGGTCCGATATCAGCACAGTTGCGAAAACAACATTCTTCGCCTAAAGATGACTGCAAATCGCAACCATCCGTTTCTCAATCTGCTGATCACTGCCTCGGTCGGTCTCTGGCGATAATGTTGTCTTGCAGCAACCACATCGGCGGGTCGAGTGCCCAGCTGCCCAGGTGGGGGTACCCAGAGCTTCCGCATGCTTGACCTGCCAACCAAAAGCTTGTGCAACGACTTTCATCATCGTCGCGATATCAACACAATAGCTCACCTTCCAACTCCGCACAGATAGTGGACACTGCTTACATTTACATCAGCAATGTTAGGCCTCTCGGGCTCAAATCAACCGCCTATACCCACTCCCGCAGTGCGTGATCCGCACAATGCCTGCTCCTTCGATGATAGCGTACCATGTACGGAAGCGAAACTACCGAGCTTATCCGCTACGCTTACCTCCTGCGACCTAGCCAGTGATGAGCCTTACTATGAGAGGCCTAGTATACTGTGCTCCCCATGGGGTTTTCTCTGACGTATTGCCTCACGGCGCGCACGTTACATCGGCACTGTGCCGGACCGGAATACAATAAAGCAAGACATGTGTCCCGTGGTATTGGGACATTGTTCGTCTTCTCTCATTTGAGCCTCTCCTTCACCACCACATAGATACCTGGCTGTTGGACAGAAGAGTATGGATTCAGACAAGATAGCAGATGAGAAGTTTGAGCACGAAAAGGGAAGCACGGTGGAAGAGGGCTTTGGAGATGTCGATGAGGCTGTGGTTAAGAAAGTGCTGTGGAAGATGGACGTTAGGTATGTTGTATCGCTCTTTGCCAAAGGTGTCTTGATGTTAATGGCTGCAGGATATTGCCCGTTCTCGCACTCCTGTTCCTGTGCTCGTTCATAGACCGCACGAATGTTGGCAACGCAAAGATCCTTGGCCTCGAGGCCGATCTTCACATCAACGATCATCAGTATGCGATTGGACTGTGCGTGTTTTACGCCACGTACATTGCAAGGTATGCCAGAGTCCGAACTTTTCTGTGTAGGCAGAGCTGACGAAAGAACAGTGAGCTGCCGAGTAACTTGGTGTTGAAGAAGGTGTCACCGAAGATCTGGCTCCCTGCACTGACTGCAGTTTGGGGCATATTGACAATGTGCTTGGGTTTCGTGACTGGTTTTGCTTCTTTTGTCTCTGTACGCGCGCTGCTTGGTGTCGCAGAGGGCGGACTTTTGCCTGGCATGGTAAGCTTCATGTCTGGAGATAACGGGTACCATACTAACACACCGGCAGGTCCTCTACCTCTCACACTTCTACAAGCGTACCGAGCTTGCCCTACGAATCGGCATTTTCTACACCGCTGCGTCCCTATCCGGTGCATTTGGCGGCCTCCTCGCTCGCGGCCTCAATGCTATCGGCCCCGCTGGTGGTCTTGAAGGATGGAGAGTACGTAATGACTGGTTCGATTAGTTTCACAATTGCTAATCCCTGCCACAGTGGATCTTCATCATCGAAGGCATCCTTACGTTCCTCGTCGGCGTCTCATCCGCTATCTTCCTCCCTAACTCTATCGAGTCTGCTGGCTTCCTTTCTATCCCCGAGAAACAATGCGCCCGCATCCGCCTGAACACGTCCGCGGTCCACGAGTCCTTCTCATGGGCCGAAGTCCGCCGTGGTGTCTTCAACCTTCAAGTCTGGCTCAGCGCAACAGCATACTTCTGCATCTTATGCGGTCTTTACTCCTTTGGCCTATTCCTTCCGACGATCGTCAAGGGCGGCTTTTCGACCGACCCCAACGCAGCGCAGCTCTGGACCGTCATTCCTTACGCCGTCGCCGCACTCTTCACCGTCGCTGCAGCCTTCTTATCTGATCGTCTCGCGCTTCGTGGACCGGTCATGCTCGTCACCCTACCCATATCCATCATCGGATACGCCGTCATGAGCGTCACCACAAATTCCAAGGTCCAGTACGGCATGACCTTCTTGATGGCTACAGGCATGTATGCCTCCGTACCCTGCATCCTTTCCTGGAACTCGAATAACTCCGCGGGTCACTACAAGAGGGCTACCACCACTGCTCTGCAACTCGCTATCGCCAATTCGGGAGGCTTTGTGGCGAGTTTCGTATACCCGAAAAAAGAGGAGCCGAACTTCCACAAGAGTCACCAGATCATGTTGGGGCTGTTGTGTGCGGCCTGGGTGTTGATCGCAGCGAATGTTGCGTGGGTTGCGAAGCTCAATCGTGATAAGACAAATGGGAAGAATGCGCAATTTGAGGGGTGCAGAGATGATAGGGATCCGGAGTTTAAGATGATGTTGTAGATACGCGTTGCGGTCGCGTATTAGATGCTACGGTTGTAGCACGTAATGAATCACGAACAACCTCCAGTCTTACAAATCTTCTGGCAGTTGTAGTCTTCTGTGAGTCCGCCTGTCTCGAACATTGTTTTAGAATCAGTGCGTGCGGAGTCCGGTAAGGTTGGGGGCCAAAACGATGCAACACACTGCAAGATGGCGGCCTAATCCTTGCGGACTTCCAACGAACCTCAACACAACGGCCTTGTCGGACATCCGGAGGCGTCCATGGTATGCCTGAGTACTGCAGTCCATCTTTGTTAAGACGCAGTCGAGAGTTCAACATGTTCGACCAATATCAATACGCATCGACTGCTAGCTCACGAACCACAGCAGTATTTCCTCACTCCCAATCATCACTTCTGCACTTTCAAGTTTCGAATCATGGCAATACTCAGCACCCGGCTTAGTCGCTACTTCTCCCTCTCCCGGCGCTCCCAATCTTCCACCATCCACCCCACCTCAGCGCCCAAGATTTGCAAGTCGAAGATCTCGAAACCTATCATTCCTGACGAGGAAGACACACACCCTCTCACCGCCTCGTCACACCAGTATTCGCACTCCCACTCATCGTCTATTCACACCATCTCTGACGCGGACCTACGAAACATGGAAGACGAAAAGCTTTCTCGGCGCCTAAAGGACGATATCGACGACATCCTCGCACAATACCAGTACACACCCACAACCACCGCACACCCCACCGCAAACCCTTTCCGTGACACTGAAATACGCATCGAAGCAGCAAGTCCAGCTTCAACGTACTCTACTGCATCTCCGATCGTCTCGGCAAAACTTGAGCGCTTCCAAAACACGCCGCCTCCTGCGCCGAGCTGGGAGAAAGTGAGTTTTGGACGTCAGACTAGGTTGTTTGGACCTGAGGAGTTTACGGATTTTGGCGTCGAATGGAGGGGAAGGGTGGATTTGGAAGCTCGGAGTCATAAGAATTGGCGGGGGGAGTTTGGGAAGAGGGGGTATGCTGTTTTGTAGCGAGGGTGTGGGAGATGGGTTTGATAGAAGTAGTGCGAGTGTTGTGTTGGACTAAACAAGTGTTGAGAAGTCGTTGAAGTTCTTTCGCTGTTCGGGTGGGGGTTGAGGCTATGTGAGCGGAGAGCTTGGGAGATTGCGAGCAGGGAATTTGGTGAGCGTATGAGGTATTATGAGGGTTGAAACCATATGTCTTGAATAGCTGGTCTGGGTTGAACAAGAACGCGCATATTCCAACTTTTCCAGGAAAATAAGATTCATCTGCGGCTTCAAAGATGTGCTGACTACCCCGGGTAGGGCCTTAGGATTGGGTGGGTTCTCAGTCATGTGAAGAGATACATAAACACTCTTTGAATGGTCAGAACACCTGCATAGAGTAGTAGGAAGCAGTAGTGCCATGTACCAACCCTCTGACCTGCACACAACACGTATCTCACATGGAAGTAACGCGATCCAGTACATGAGAGGCAAATGCCAGGCTAGATCACCCGAAATCTTATGATCCTTTGAGGAGATTGTCGGCCCGTGCAGGGTCAAATTTCCATGCTGCTCTTCGATACGTGCATCGCCAATATGTCGGTGAAAAAACTCCACGTCCTTACAATGTACGAAACAAGATGGGCATGACACGAACATTCCTAGTTGAGACACGATATGATCTGTGCCAGCAGATGGCCTCGAATAGAATGACTCGGTATTGACAGTCGGAAGAATATTTTCCAAAGTCGAAGGAGCAAGATCCCAGGCGAAAAGTGACAAGTCGTCGGTAGCGTATATGATCTCCTTCTGCAGCCGTACGAAAGCTTCTTCACCCTCACCGTACTGCATGGTCATATTGATTTGGAATATTCTAAGTAGAGAGTACGCAAGATCTTCCGTTCGAGTCGCCTGACGACGTGCAGCCCAAGACATGCGCTGCGCGAGGGTCTTAGAGAGTATAGTGCCCGGGTCGCGCAACGTTTCTGCATCTATGTTCGGACTGCGAGTGATCTGCTTTTGTATTTTGTGCTTTCAAGTCGATATATTCCCAGCCTGTGTCGAAGAACAGCACTGAGAACAGCACTGACGCACTTGCTGAGCGACAGGTTTGGTCAGCCTGTCCCGATCCCTCCAGGACCGGTAGTATTAGTAGAATTCATCGAAGGCCTCCCATGGAATCGATATGGCTCCACAACGAAGTTCCACCTCCTTGCATTGCTGAATTCTTGTAGAACCCACGTCCGAGTGACACCCTGGTCTCATCACAAGCGTACATGGCGCGGCTGACAATTCACTGCATGGCTTGAAGCTGACGGTGCGAAGAAGTAGCATGGGCTGCGGTATTCGGAAGGGAGGCAATCATGTTAATCATCCTCGAACTTGAAGCGGTTGTTGACCCTGTCGAGAGTGTGTCGTGATTGGAGAAGAGCAAGGCTGAGATGAATGCGTGGGGTGGGCTCCAGCTGCAAGCGCAACTACGTCATCTGAACATCGATCTGCCCGCACTACGGCTGTCAACACCAACTCTTGGTCTGCTAATGCGCTGCTGTTAACAATAATTCTCGCTCAGAGCGCATATTCAAAAACATGCCGCTTGTCAGGAAGCTCCTGATCTTCGCTGCCGGCGATGGGCTCGTGCTCCAGCCCCGCTCACATCCTCACGCACAGCAACAGCAGGCTATAAAGATCGACTACAAGGGCAACGTTGGGCCCCTGCTCAAGAATGACCATAATGATGATAGCACACTGTCGTCTTTTGAATCGCACGGGGTCGTAGGTATGTCTTCGACGATACGCGCCGAATCGTAATACCGAAATTGACACAGATCAGGGCTCCTCAAGATTGCTACCTCGGTCTTCCTGATTTCGATATGCGGCCGCGAACAAGTCGCACAAGTACGCGACAAGCCCATCTATAAGATCACCGATGTCGCCCTAATCCCTCTCGCGTCACAATCCGAAGCCGACAAAGCCATCACGTCCACGCGAGAACACCTACAGCGACACAACAAGCCAAGAGGAACAGAGGACGATACAGACAGCGAGAGCGAGGATGACGCACCTAGCGTCACAGACTCTTTGGTAGAGGAAGCAGCGCATGCTCAAACGGAGGTCAAGGATCCTGTCACAGGCCAGAGAGGGCCTGCAGACAAGAGATCTAGTGTCGCCGAGGATGTCATGCAAAAGAAGGGTGTGTATGGACGCTTCGCCGACAAGTGGTTTTCGCGCAAGGGTTGGAGCGCAGAAAGCAGACGTACTCAGGGCCTGAGCTCAGAGGAGGATCTTGCTGCAAAGAACGTACCCAAGAACGTAGACTCAACAGGTCCCACAAAAGAGACAGATGCATCAAAATCAGACAAGTTACCGAGCGACGAGAATACAACGCCAGATTCGGTCAAACCAGAAGACATCCCAAAGGCTCTTGAGGGAGATAAGGACGCGACAACAATAGCGCTATTACCGCGTGTGCTGCAGACTACCAAAATGTACTTCTCGTCCGGCAACTTCTTCTACTCGTACGACTACGATCTGTCGCATAGCATTGGAAATCAGCCTACGAATGCTAGTGTCCCGCTGTTCAAGCAGTACGATCCTTTGGTGAGTGCTTCATGATCGAACAAGCATGCTGCTGCTAATCCTACTCAGTTCTTCTGGAATCAGCACATCGTTACACCCTTCATCGAAGCTGGTCAGCATTCGTTCGTCTTACCTATTATGCAGGGTTTCGTTGGACAACGTCCATTCACGCTCAAGATTGCGGATGGCAAATCGGACAGCTTGGTAATTGACGAGGATGCCACACCGGACGATATACAATTGCAATCGTGGCACGAAAAACAGGAGAAGGAAGGAGCTGCGGCAGCAGAGCCTGCCAAGGAAGAACCAGCAAAAGACGTCGCGGATGGAAAAGATTTTCTAATCACTCTGATTTCAAGGCGCTCGGTGAAGCGTGCTGGACTGCGCTACCTTCGACGTGGAACAGATGATGAGGGCTGCACAGCGAACACTGTCGAGACCGAACAGATACTCTCGTCACCAACGTGGAACACATCACAAGACAAGATCTACTCCTTCATACAGCTTCGTGGCTCGATACCACTCTTCTTCTCTCAGTCACCATACAGTCTGAAACCGCAAGTCACCACGTGGGGCTCCTTCGAAACCAACGGCCAAGCATTCAAGCGCCACTTCAATGACCTCGTGTCACGCTACAGCGAAGTCTACGTCGCCTCGCTCATCGATAAGCACGGTACTGAAGCTAAGATCGGCGAACTGTACGAGCAGCATGCCAAGGACCTTAACGAGCACGGTGGTCTCGACGGCAAAGGCAAGCAACTTGGCTTCGAATGGTTTGACTTCCATAGTGTCTGCCGCGGGATGCACTTCGAGAACGTCTCCAAGCTCATGGACAGTCTCGGCCCCTTCCTCGAGTCGACAGGCTGGACAGAGATCTCCAACGACGAGATCAAGCACAAACAATCCGGCATCCTACGCACAAACTGCATGGACTGTCTCGATCGCACCAACGTTGTCCAAAGCGCCACGGCTCGTGGCGCCCTCGAACAACAACTCTCGGCCGGCAACTACACCATCGACCTCCAAAACGACCCCTCCACATCTTGGTTTAACACGCTCTGGGCCGACAACGGCGACAATATCAGCCGTCAATACGCCGGTACTGCCGCGCTGAAAGGCGATTTCACACGCACACGCAAACGCCAGATCACCGGTGCGCTGACCGACTTCGGTCTCACACTGACCCGCTACTATAACAACATCGTGAACGATTACTTCGCTCAGGCAGTCATCGACTACCTCCTCGGCCGGGCAACAGACACCATCTTTGCCGAATTTGAAGCTGACATGAAGTTGTCGGACTATTTCATCGACGTCCGCAAAGTCCGACAAGCAGCCATCGAACGCTGCGCTGCACGTGTTATTGAGGATGAAGACGAGGATCTGATACACGGATGGACGCTCAGCGTACCTACCTCCGCGAATCACGTCAAGACAAGCACGTTTGAGGAGGCTGTCCTTCTCCTTACAGAAAAAGCACTGTATTTCTGCCGCTTGGACTGGGGCACAGAAAAGGTCCGCGAATTTGAGCGCGTTGCGCTGGAGAACATCCAGGGGATTATGCGCGGCGTGTATATCACAAGTACCCTTGCGCAACGACACATGGATGCTGAGAAGAACGTTGGGTTCGTGGTCAGGTATCGGGCGGATGCTGATGGCGAGGCTATAAGGAGGAACACAAGGGTGCTGGACTCGGGGGCTGCGAATGATGAGCAGAAGAGGGATGAGAAGAAAGCCAAGTCCGAAGAGGGGAGGTTTCTGGCTTTCAAGGCTCTGCCGCCGCGGAGCAGTGTGCCGAGCGAGGGCGAGAAGGCAGAAAACGAAATCGAAGTGGTGAAAGAGATTTGTGAGGAGGTTGTTAGGATTGCTAATAAGGCGAAGAAGGCGACGCAGATACCTGAGGCTGGTGAAGTTGTTGACGAGAGGACATTGAGCGTTGAAGACGAGGATATCATCAGTTTGGCGGATGCGAAGAAGAGTACGGGGTATCTGGAGCAGATTGGATATTCGCTGAAAAAGCTGGTTTGGTAAGAGCAACCAATTCTTCATGACATAGAGCAATTATGTAAACAGCATGCATCCGGATATATAAACGACCGCTTACAGTAATTTTCATATCGTTTGCCATCGTCACTGAACTCGTTCTTGCACTGTCGCGCTTGCAAACTGGGAACGGATCAAGCTTCTCGACAACAGCGGCTAACGAGGCATACGCAGGGTGCGCGCAAAACTGTAGAGATCTAAGACGTGTAACTCCAATTGCTTATATGGTTTCTGCTCTACGAACGTCAAATTGGTTGTGAGGTCTGCAGATAGAAGGAATGAAGTCATGCGTTGTTTGCGACTGTGGTTCGTGTGTATTGACTACTTCGGAAAGCGCTGAGAGCTGTAGTCAGGTTGTTGTTGTAGGGGTTTCGTGAATTCAAAAGATGCAATACTCTGCTGTGAAGAACGTGTACCAGTGTCACTGTCGGGTATCGACCATGATGATTGCTCGAACAGTCTTTTGTTGACGTCTCATGATGGACAGTCGCATGATCGGTTCAATTTCGCAGCAGTGGAATGCGACGGTTGCGTGCACTACTATGTTACCTCTTCAGCCGTTTGCGTGCTATTTACAATGTTGATAGATGTATTTTGTCAAGAAGTTGGCCACTGATGGATTGTTTCGTTCCAACGAGCAACCATAGAGGCACTGTACCACACTGCCGCGACAGCAGTACACCTTTCCTGTTTGGAATAGCGGGTCAATTTGTTTGTTCACAATGTCAGTACGTAAGATTTTCAAACTACCGACACGTGTGTCGGCAGCGCTTCCGATTCAGACATCGTTGGTCACAAGTGCAGCTCTGAGGCGTTTGTAGTGCGGCTCTGCAGCATTGGAACGGCTTGCGGCTCTGCGGTTGTTGAAGAGCTTAGCCTGGAATCTTGTTTTGACTGCAATTGCTCCACTGACTCTTTGTGCGAAGGATCGTGACGGGAGAGTGATGGACACCACGAGTGGGTACAAAATCACCGTTGAGCACAGATCTTCCGTGGTGAGATTGTTCTGGAGGTTGGGTGTGGATCCTGAATGGTGGTTGAACACATTCGATGGAAGAGTCGGTGGAAGAGTCGATGGATTTGGTCCTGTTTGGCCTCTGGCGAACGTCGAGTGATGTACAAAGCTAATGCTATTGCTCGTGAGCGTTCGGTATACCCACCTCGTGTGATTGTACGAGTGCGTCGTTGCGGCTCCTTGTTCTGGTGCCGAGGCAGCGAGGTTACGACTGTACAGCTGACGAGATGATTGTCAATCGAGTGACCCATGTTCTCATTCGTCGTCACCTCGTCTGATATGTGGCAGACGAGCTTAGCGCTTCCGAGGCTCGGGAGGCTCTGCTGGGCGCCAGACAAGGGTGCTGGTCATGTGAAGCCTTTCACGGTTCTCTTTGGCCCAGCACAGTGGCAGCACAGCAAATCAAGGACATCTCCGGCATCCGGAAACAAGCCGTGAAGATGCCATTTTGGCGCGACACTTGTGCATGCGGCTGACATCGATCGACAGCTACACATCCCAATTAGGTAATATACCCGCAGATATGTTTATCTCCTCATGCTGACTTTATGGAGCAAAGCTGGAGAACGAGCGCTTTTCTTGGAGTTGTTGAGCGACACCATGCTGTGGAGGTTAAGATGGGGTCTCCAGCCTGGGGAAATGTTGAACAACACAGGGTTTGCTCGAGCGTGCACCTTCAACGCTTTGTTGTCGCAGCTTGCTCCTGCACGTGTTGTTGTCCGACTCTTGCTCCGATCCTTCAGGGTAAATGCTTAAGGCGCTTCTGCGTGGCAGGCTCGGCCCATGCGTGCCCAAAGCCCGTTTTGTGTTATTCATCAAACCGTCGTGTCGCGCGATTCTCGGTGCAGATATCATTGGCAGATGGGACGCGTTTCGACGGGTCAGCTTCTCCAATCTCTCTACTGCGTTCTTGTGGTTGTTGCATTAGGACGCCTTACTTTGGTAGAGGCAAGCCGGCCTCTTACCCCGCGAAAGAGGCACACAGCCTTCCGGACCATCCGAACTTCTCAGCGAACACGACCAGACTTGTCATCTCGCGTCAAGACGCCTCAAGACTCGATCGTCGGTACTCGGCAGGGTCAAGCTTTCAAGCAGGCGGGAGGCGTCGTTGGCGCTAACGATATATGTTGTTACATAGCGTATTTGAGAAACAGTGGGTCGACGTCAGCGGCGCAATCTTTGGTTGGTCGAAGCTTGGCGAGTCGAATTTCTTTGTCGATGCGTGACGTCCCCAGTGGGGAGGCCCTCAGTGGAGCGAAATTGGGGTGAAAAACTCTGTGATTTGGGGAGAGAGGGGTGCGAATTGTGGGTGTCTGGGGATTGGAGAGCTGGAGAGCCTTTTGCGGAGGTGCACGTGTGAACAGTGTGAAGGTTGCAAAAGTGTTGAAGAGCGCGAACAACGGGTCGTCCACTGCAAGGGGATCTGCATCGCTATTATCGAATGGTTCTTCGGTCCGCAGCAACACCGTTTTCCATGGCTTGCTGCCCAGCCGTTATGTCGTCGGTTCCGTCGCCCTCCCTCACACGACTCGCACCCCAAGCATCGCTTGCCCCCGACCGTGTCAGAGCTCGTCCTCGAGCCTACCGCTACTAAGCTCCACCAATATTTGCTAATCACAACATTTCATTTCGGAGGCTAGACCATAGCAGGAAGTGTAGCAGCTCCTTCCTGACGAGCAGACTGTCCATACGCCTTGCCTGGCACAGCGAAATGCCCGTTGCGGGGCTCCCATAAGCTCCCACGTTGCTCTCCTGACCTTGGTCGACCTGCGGAGGCTCTTTGCGGGTCCCCCGAGGGGAGATTTTTTTTGGAAAACATATAAGTCCACTTTCCCTCCCTCCCCTCAGTCTGATCACTGCATCCCAACTTCTCGGGTTCCTTCTTACACCTTCTTCAAGAACGGTCGAAGAATAGCCAAGATGTATCAAATCGGTAACATCTACGGTATCACCGCTATTGCGGTCATCGGTGGTGGTCTGTTCGGTTTCGATATCTCGTCCATGAGCGCTATGTAAGTGTCACTTCTCACCTATTTCCCTTGCATTTTTATTAACTCCGCACAGCCTGCCTACTCAACAGTATCGCTGCTATTTCAACCAGGGCCCTAACGGCCCTGAGTACTCTGGAGACCCAAATGAGAAGTGCTCTGGTCCTAGGCCTGATGTCCAGGGTGGCATCACAGCCGCTATGCCTGGTGGTTCTTTCATCGGTGCTCTCGCCTCCGGTTACCTCACGGACAAGCTTGGTCGTCGTCGCGCCATCCAAGTCGGTTGTACTATCTGGGTCATCGGTTCCATCATCTCTTGCGCTGCCCAGAACATCGGTATGCTCATCGTCGGTCGATTCATCAATGGTCTTTCCGTTGGTATCTGCTCTGCTCAGGTTCCCGTCTACGTAACCGAATTGGCTCCTCCCTCCAAGCGTGGTCGTGTTGTCGGATCTCAGCAGTGGGCTATCACTTGGGGTATCCTGATCATGTACTACATCTCCTACGGTTGCACATTCCTTGAGGGCGAGAAGGCCTTCCGTGTCCCATGGGGCATTCAGATGCTCCCCGCTGTCATCCTTGCTATCGGTCTTGTCTTCCTGCCTGAGTCGCCCCGTTGGCTTGCACGTCATGACCGCTGGGAGGAGTGCCACCAGGTTCTCACCCTCGTCCACGGCAAGGGTGACCCCAACTCGCCTTTTGTGTCCCTCGAGATGGCCGAGATCAAGCAGATGATCGAATTTGAGAGGCAGAACGCCGACGTCTCTGTTAAGGAGCTCTTCAAGCCTCAGATGCTCAACCGCCTCCACATCGGTATCTTTACACAGATCTGGTCTCAGCTTACGGGAATGAACGTCATGATGTACTACAGTAAGTCACTCTAAAGTCCCACTGCTCTCACACTTCACTAACACTCATTAGTCACCTACGTTTTCGGTATGGCTGGTCTCACCGGCAACACTGGTCTGATCGCCTCGTCTATCCAATACGTTATCAACGTGTTCATGACCGTTCCTGCTCTTATCTGGATGGACCGCTGGGGTCGCCGTCCTATGTTCGTCATTGGTGCCGTTCTTATGATGATCTGGTTGTTTGCCAACGCCGGTCTCATGGCTAGCTACGGACGCGCCGCTCCTCCTGGTGGTCTTGACAACATCGCCGAGCAGTCATGGCAGATCGAAGGCGCACCTGCAAGAGCTGTCATTGCTTGCACATACCTTTTTGTCGCCTCCTACGCCCCTACCTGGGGACCTGCTTCTTGGGTCTACCCTCCTGAGCTGTTCCCTCTTCGCGTCCGTGGCAAGGCCGTTGCGCTCACCACATCTTCTAACTGGATCTTTGTAAGTCACCTTCTACGACTGTCGCATATTCTGGGCAACAAACTAACCGACAATCTAGAACTTCGCTCTGTCCTACTTCGTCCCTCCTGCGTTCGTCAACATCCAGTGGAAGGTCTACATCGTCTTCGGTGTCTTCTGCGCAGCCATGGCAGTCCACACCTTCTTCATGTTCCCCGAAACAGCTGGAAAGACTCTTGAAGACATTGAGGAGATGTTCATGGAGGGTATCCCCGCCTGGAAGACCAAGGTTGACTTCAGCACCTCCCGCCGTGCTGAGCAGGGTATCGTTGACCCGGAGAAGATTGGTGGCTTCGACCACAGCTCAATCAAGATGGAGAACGCCGACGTTGCGACCAAGGCCTAGATGTCTTGTCCGTAATAGGAACGGTGAAGAGTTGATGAAGTGATAACACTATTACGCACTTATGCTAAGCTCATGCTTATGGGCCATGTTGCTCAAGCTTAAGATACTAAATGTAATGATTTATTCCACAAACAATCCTCCCGCATGTGATCGAATTGGCAAAGTGCCGGGTGTTCATTGGTTTCTGCGTAATACTTCGTTTGTCATCTTGCGCTCACTTTCGCGCACAATCGAATGAGGATGCGCGTTCCGGTCAGGTTTCGGGAAGGTACTACATTCCTCTCCATGACAACACCACAGCCTTAACTCCATGAACGACGGGCCAAGTCCGGAAACGCCTACGAAACTCCAAGCCACGGTCTTCGACGGGATACTCGAAGCCGCCGACCGCGTTCCGCGACGAACCAACACCGGACTTAAGCCATCTAAGTCCGGCATGTCCACGATACCTTGCCATATGCACCATTGTGAGAGCCATAGTTCTTGTATTGCGAGTGTTGCGTCGACAAGTGTATAAAGCGAGGCATTGCTTTCTCTTCTATCGGACTTACCAGCTACTGAACCTCTCACAACCTCACGGATTCGCGAGTACCCATACACCAAAATCATTCTCAAGATGCCTGCTTCCACCGCAGAACGCCAGATCATCCTCATCACAGGTGTGTTCGAGCTCCTCATCTTCACAACACGCATATACTGACCTGCTCAGGTGCCAACGGCGGCATTGGCTTCGACACTGCAGCACTGCTCGCCTCTGTCTCTCCCCGCAACCACGTCATCGTGGGATCTCGCAACACCACAAAGGGCGAAGCAGCACTCGAGCAGATTCAAGACAAGGACCCCAAAGGCACAGCTAGTCTTGTCCAGCTCGACGCAGACGACGACGCATCCATCAACGCCGCAGTGCAGCACATCAAGCAGGACTTCGGCCGACTTGACGTCCTTATCAATAACGCCGGTATCTGCAAGGAGACATACGACGGTCGATGGCCTTCTCGTGAGGACTTACGCGCAGAATTCGAGACCAACGTCTTTGGTCCTACAGTTCTAAGCGCTGCCCTCCTCCCACTCTTGAGGCAGTCCAAGGCCCCCAAGATCATCAACGTCTCATCCGGTCTGGGTAGTATCTCACGTTGCCTTGCTACACCCGATAAAAGCCCTTACGGTGCCATCGTTCGTGTGCCTGGGTACCGCATGACCAAGTCTGCACTTAACATGCTCACCGCGTATCAGTACCAGCAGCTGAAAGACGAGGGCTTCAAGGTCTGGAGCTACTGTCCTGGTTTCGTTATTACGGATATTGGTAGGGATAGGGAGGCGAGGAAGAATATGAATGGGTGTGACAGCTCAGAGACGAGTGCGCAGGGGATTTTGGAGATCATAGAGGGACAGAGGGATGAAGAGGTCAGCCAGTTTCTACAGAAGTATGGGAAGCGTTATGACTGGTAGATGACACTGGGTACAGTTCAAGTCTATATCATATCGTTGATGTTTCGCAGAATGGACAATGAACGCTGTATGATGTTTTGATAAGAGTGGTGGTTACCCTTCCAGCCTTCGTGCCTGCAGACACCAGACTTAGCGGCTGAACTACCCCGCTTTTCCCAGCGGCATTGCCCCAACCAGCCGCTTCATCACCATCAAGTTCAGCATCATCTCGGAAATTTGCTACGATGTCATATGCATCCCACGTGGTGAGGCTCACACTGTCGGCCTTCTTGATAAAGCAGGCTTTGCAGGGTGCTGGGCTTCAGGTACCCTGGCAGCGGCCAATAGCCAACGGCCGTTAGTGCATGTGGTTCGTTAGCTTCCGAGGCATGCGTGAACGGCTTCATCTGTCAAGCTCTAGTACACGGAATGAAGGTAGGCTGAGCATGGGTGGGACCGTACATAAGACACGCTTCTTGCTGTTTGCTGTTTTGCTTTGTGTGTTGAGTGTGTCCATTCTTACTGCGCGATTTGAAGTGAGAAGAGCAGGCGCTATGTTTGGTCAATCGGTAAGCCTTCCTGACTGGAAGTTGATGAAAGACTCGGGCTGAACGAAACAGGGACTTACGAGCTTCATGCTCATTGCACGTACGGAGTGCCAATATCGGTTCTGATATCGAAACTAACATTGGACAGAGAGCGCCTTTGCCGCAAGCAAGACGACCAACTCTGATGTTCGCATGAACCACATCCAGGTCATCGGAACCCACAACTCGTACCACCGTGAGGTCTCACTAGCAGAGCGTGCTATATTCGAGAAGTATATACCTTCTCCGGAAGACTACTACTACTCGCACGCCACACTACCCAACCAGCTGGAGCATCAGTCTGTCCGCTCATTCGAGCTCGACTTGCACTCGGATGAGAAGGGCAGTCTGTACTATCCTCCCTTGATCTGGACTCTTTCCAACCTGACAAATGCCACGACTCCCTACGATGGCTCTGTGCTGCAGAAGCCAGGTATCAAGGTCTTCCACGTCACAGACTTCGATCCTGACTCTGTATGCCACACCTTCAAGGACTGCTTGACCCAGCTCAAGGTCTGGTCAGACGCAAACAAGAACCACGTCCCCATCGTTATTGATCTGGAGCTCAAGACTGATGCGCCAGCCTGTGCAGCAGGCGGTGTTTGTCCCGGCGAGGCCACAAACTGGACTCTTCCCCGTCTTCTCAACGTCGACGCGGAGATCCTCTCAGTCTTCCCCAAGAAGCAGCTCATCCGTCCAGACGATGTTCGTCAAGGCAATTTGACACTGGAACAGAGCGTTCTCCAGAAAGGATGGCCGCTGCTTAGCGATGCCCGCGGCCGCTTTATGTTCTTCTTCGACAACGACCCAAAGCCCACTGACCCCAGTTCTCCTCGCGAGCTGTACAAGTCTGGCGGTCACGAGTCACTCCAGAACCGCACTGTATTCACCAACTCGCTCGAAGGCTCATCTGACGGTGCCGTCATCAAGCACAACGAGCCGCGCGGCAACGATACTGCTGAGATCCAGCGCCTGGTGAAGAAAGGCTATATCGTGCGCACACGAAGCGATGTACCGCTCGATACTGTACTGAACAGGACTACCGAGATGCGCGACTCGGCATTTGCATCTGGTGCGCATATTGTCAGTACGGATTTCCCGTCTTGGGGCATGAGTGCACGGTGGGGATGGGACTATGTTGCGCAGTTGAAGGACGGAAGGGTCGCGAGGTGTAACCCGGTTAACGCACCGAAGGGGTGCAAGGACAGCAATCTTGAGTAGGGCCTGTATCCGCTTCATGACGGACGATGGATCTTCTTCGAGCCTACGGCAAGCCATAACACTCAACGAAATAAAAAACCAGTATTCGAGATCTGAGACGTCTGCCTCCGACCGACTCATCACTGACAGACATCACAGACCTATCCCAATAGGCGCTGGCTGGCTCGCTCGTTTCATCACTACTACCCAACGAAGTGGTGATATAAGTTCCTCAGGGCCGGCGGCGGAGGCCCTGTCCCTAGGACACATATGCCTAGCCATACTAACGTGGTGATTTACTGTGTCTTCAGGATACTGGCCATCAACAACATGCTAAGCACGGCGATTGGGCTCAGGGAGTTCCCTGCACGCGACAAGGGCACTATGCGCACCCAGACGGGTTAACGAGGTCTAATCATGGAGAATCAAGCCCGAGGGCTTCAGAGTCAGAGGAGGTACCACGATAGGAATATAAAGAAAGAAGAAGAGCGCCGCATGAGAGCGGCACAACAAAATGGCTCTAGATGTAGATGCCCCAAAGGTGAGAAGAGAAATATAAGAAGAATCTGTCCAGGTATGCGGAGTGTGGTTCGACAAACTTAGACTATCCTCATCACTCTAAGTATCCCCACTCTTGTCCATGTATGTGCGCCGACTGACTCAATCAGTTCGTCGGACCTGTCAGCCGGGTCTGATACAGGTTCCTTCTGGGCCGACGGCGGAGGTTTGTTCTTATGGATCAAAGGCCAAGCTTCCTACGACCGGTCAATTACTGATTCTCCAGGACAGTGACCACCAGCAACATGCTAAATGCGCCTTCAAGCTTAGAGAATTCTCAATACATTAAGGAACAAGCCCGTAGACTTCAAGGTCCTGATGAGGTTTTGCAAAGATAGAGAAAGGGTACCGCACGAACGCATCTTGGAGGAGTATGCCGCGTATGCGATATAAAAAGGGCTACCTTACAAGGTAGAAAAGACGAGTGATTTTTCTGCGCAGACCAGAGGTTGCAGTACATAGTTCAGGGGATCTGGCCTTGAAGTAGCAGAGTTCAGGGAGCTTTCAAAGTGGATGTGGATACTTATAGATAAAGGACACACGTCGTCGGGTGATCCGAACGGTGGAGGCGCACGCCTAGAGCTGGTACTGTTGGTGAAAAGCGTGTGTGCAATGATATGAGGCGCTTGTAGAAAGAATTTGACGGGGTGCAGGTGAGAAGGAGGAAGGTGCCGCTTAAGAATGCGGAGGAAAGTAATCACCTTCACTTCATCTATTGGCAAGAACGTTCACCTGATTCATTCTTGCCGCTGGGAGGACAGTCTTCTAATAAGCTGATAAACTAGGTCAGAGTGAGAGGCAACGCAAAGAGCTAGTGATGCACTATCGCAGCAATGCCCTGTGCACATGGCTCAGACAAACGAGAAATAGTTGATGAATGTGGGAGAATGGTGTAGTATTGAGGTATCTGTCAAGACTAGGTGGTTGTCGTGCTGTATTGCAGGTGAGCAGAAGCTCGATATAAGCTGCCTATCACGTGCCGGCAATCGGGGAATCCTTCACCCGCCTCCCGCGGACAGTATCGAGGGAAGCTGCTATATGGAGACGGACGCTAGTGCTAGCACGTCATGGCAATTGGTGGATCCTTCACCTGTCTCTCCAATAATAGTCCGCTACTTCTCGTCATCAGAGCTTGATCACTTCGTCTTACGCGCCACCTCAACTTTCCAATCCGATTTGACTTGCCGAACGCCTTCTAGCTCTTCTGGCTAGGACCGAGCAACTGTAACAGTCTCACAAAGTGTGGTCGCATCACATACATTGCTTATCTTATCTATCGTTGCTTGGATCTAGGTTCCGGAAGCTCCAGAAAGTCAGGCACGACTTAAACGGCATCCAGTATGCTTATGCATAACGACAGTGGCTCATCAACGAGCAGCAAGCGTCAGAGGGACGATGACAAGGCTTCGATGACAAGGCTTCGACGACGTCTAACAATACAAAGCGCCTACGCAATAGTATAGTCGATCTCACTGCGGAGTCTGCTGAGTTGATGTTCTAGAGCCTGCCGATAGAACCACGAAACACGATCAGCGCGCACGTAAATGATTGTGAATTACACGCATCTATATGATCCCATGCTGACTGAAACTCTGCTCAGCTGTCGCCCGTCGATCTCAAGCGACGTTACAAGGTTACAGCTGGATCACTCAAGTCTTTTGCCGATAAGAAGCTGAACTTATACTGTGGCGGCATGGGACGCTGTGGTATACTGATAGCTACGGTAAACGATAGCGTAGGACTATCGGGTCGATGGAATACTGCGCTGAGTTGCTATCTAGCTAGGAGATGATGATATATACTGGCCCTATAATGTGCTAGTCCATAACAGTCTAAGCAAGGGTAATCGGGTCTCGTAATGACCGACTGACACCGCAACATATACGAAGCCGCTAACTACTTCAAAACTTGGTTGTACAACTAAATAGAGTTTCAATTGAACATGGACTCTTGAAGAATTGTGCACAGCTCCATCAACAGACGCAATCTGGCAGCTTTCGCGCTCACCAGAGGCTTGTTCCTGGATTGCGCTTGGAACACTGACGAGGATTGCTTGGGGCCGTTGTTGAGGGCGCTCATACCGTATCTTCGAACTCGTTCCTTCACCGAGAACACCATATCTGCGCTCACTCTCCCAATTCTCGAAGACCTGTACAAGACAAAGCTCAAAATGCTCGAGACTATCGTTGTACCCACATACAATAATGTCGGCCTTCAGAACATCCTTCAACCGCCACGATCCAGAGACGATATTGACTTATCCTTGGACTTTCCTGAGTGGCAGGAGCGACGAACAGAAGGCTCTGATCGCCCAACCTAATGACTATTCCAAGGCAAAATCTGTAGTGCGGTTCCACCCTGCACACCGACTAGTCATAATCGAGCAAACTGGCATGTTCAGCTTCGCAGTCAGAACGCAGAGGACCGAGACCATCCAGGACAAAATACCAGCGCGCACAGTCAAAGACCTCAAAATCATCGCGTATCCAATGGCTCCTGTCGATCTACGCCGTCAGCTCGTAGCTGAAGTCAATGACTATAGAGTTAGAGACGTCTCCTTCTTCTCTCCACCCGATCACGATCAGCCTGCGCTAGAGTCAGTAATTTCTGGCTTCAAATGGTCTCACAACGTTCAGATACGGGAGCTACATCTTCACTGTATCGATCTTTCTAAATAAGGGCGAACAGTGTCTATCGATGGTGAAGAGAAACAGCTAGGCTAGATCTCCATACCCGATCTCAAGCACCTTAGCATCCACGACTACATAGGCTCTCGCCTCTTGGTGAAAGAGCTGCAAAGGTGTGGTGCAAATCTGAAAGCACTGGTCTTCTCAGTCGCAGACATTGAGACCGGCAGCGTGACTGAGGAAGCTCTTGTCGAGTTCGTTCGGTCATGTCGAGATTTGAGAGCATTAAGTCTCCACTACCGACCAAAGGATCAGACGCCCGCCAATCATATGCGAGAAGTGGACTACAATGACTACGTCGACTATCTCAACGCTCAGCTCAACATACCGACGCGCGACATGAAACTGCCGACAGACACAGTACAAGAATAGGCTGAGGATCTCCTACCCATGGTCGGCGATTTCGTGAAAGGGCATTGCAGGTTTGACCTCCAGCGTCTTCTTGAACCACTTGAGTATACGCTGCGAAGGCCCTCACTTGCGCAAGATCGTCGATGGAAGCTCTGGGAAGAAGACGTTTCTTCCATCGGTGCTACCTGTCTTTACATTGAAGACCTAGCAATCCCTTGCTCGGACATTGAGGATATGATACACTATGGTGTCGGTAAGATTGGCCCTTTGCTTCATGTTCGCAGACCTGGCGGTAAGTATCATTCCAACGCAGATCTTTGTTATCTCTAACAAGAAACAGGACATTTTCATGAAGTTTCCGTCCTTGGAGTGCTTGTGCTAGTAGCGAAAGCCATTGAACCTTGGGTACACTTCACGACCGAGCATCTCGAAGCAATTACCCGCAACATACTTCAGGTTCTGGCGGACAAAGGCCTTCGAGTTGGTTCCTTCAGCGTTGCACTGAGCGACTACAACCTACCATTCGATGCAGGCATCGATGCATGCCACTTGCGCGTCTGCTCTGACCCGAAACTGTCGTTAACAGTCAGCGAAAAGGGGTTGAAGCGCTCTTGGAAGTGTCATAGAGACTTGCGCGATTGCTGGTTTCCCAAGATGGTTGAAGACAAGACAAGGTATGTGTGGAGCTATTGATTGGTCATTCGGAGGGATCCCTGTATGCTTCATACTCGATGTTGTTGAGTCGAATATTTGGACGAACGGTCCTGTAGTTGCAATGTCTGTTGGCGCACATTAGCTGGGACTGAGCAGGAGAATTTTATGCTTTAGAAGCCGGCAGACGGTGCTGTTTGTACGGATCAGTTCGTTTGTAGCCGCCACGCCAGGATCTGCGTTGTCACTCCACCGGCCCGGCCAGATTGGTGTCTTCTCTAAACGCTGGAGATGAACGAATGAGACCTCTATTTCGGACTTTGGACGACAACAAATTCAGAGTTACTTTTGTAGATGCATTGAACATGCATTATGGTGCCTGTAAGTCTGATGTGATTCGCGGAACAACATCAACCTTCCCCACTCACAATTTTGCTGTATACGCTGTTGAACATTGAGATTTTGATCGGCATTGCCCTAGTCTGTCTCAGCGTGCACGTTCGCTAGAAGACAACACTTGTCAAACGGTGATCCAGATCTTCAACGAACGTTCTACAAGATTGAAATGAAGGACGGGGATCATGTGGAGGAGCGCCGGCAGGGGTAACGTCGCCTGTCACAGACTTAGGCGGGCCGCGATCTTTACCCGTTATTATTCCAGTAGGAGAACAACCCAATCGAAGGAATGCGCACTGGGGCCGGTGAAATGCAAGGCGGTTGCACCCTTGGCAAGTGTGACCAGTTGCTTCAGCGCGCGACTCTAAGTTCGAGGTCTTCGCTCATGGATGGCTAGCTGGAAATATGAGGGCGAGACGTCATTTGGAAGCGTCTGGTTGAAATGAGCAGTGCCTGAATGCGACACCATCACAAACGCCAGAAATGAAGTTAGATGACAGCAAGACTTGCATGCAGATGCAGGTCAGCCTCGAACCGATTTCCATGTTAGGGGCGTGCTCGCGATTACTTAGCCAAACCGTCTGTTGACGCACTACAAGGGGTCGAAAAGCCGCCCTCGACAACTCCATCCGAGGGCGCATCTCGAGGAAGTCCGGCACAGGCCAAGAGGGGCGATGCTCTCAGGCTGCTTCAAGGCCGACGATGAGGATGGGTCCTCGTATCCTGCAACATTAGTCACTGAGGGAGGATCCTACGCGCCTTGCTGCGGCTACAAATTTTTGTAGACAGGAACATAATGATGGTGTAGTAAGGTACTCCCTTTATCTGCGCCTTTGCATGCCCCTGCATATATGTGGGAGACTGCATTCATCCGGACTTCGGAACGGACATCTGTCATTTACCTACTCAGAGGCGGCGTTTCCGCCTTCAAAATGTCAGCATTGTGGATTCTCAGGTAAAGAGCAAGACAAACGGGAGTGCGCAACCGACATGTGGATGCACACTGAGACCAACACGGCAGGTCCTTGGGCTCTGAAGGATCAGCGACCTCGAAGGATGACGGTGTGGAGATAAGGTTGGCTGGGCAGGAGCAGTCGACGCACGTGGAAAACATCTAAGCGAATCATCCAATCGATAAGATGCCGCCGAGCACATCGTTTGAAGGACGACGGAGGGACGTCGCGCCGCAGCCACAACCGGAAGATCACAAAGGGATTGCGATATTCAAGGACGACATCAAATCTGCTGCTCATCAAACAAACCTTCGTATCCACACTTTGAGTTTTCAGCAGATGTGCAAGAACGCGAAAGACAATTCACTGCTCTGCCATTTTCCCTAGCAGGGAAGCGCTGCGCTAATCCCTGTACGGAATCGTGTGAAACACGGCGCGTTGATGTTTCCTCCGTGCTTGGCTGGCGAAGTCCTAATCAGACCAACGCTCTCGGACAAGGCCACTTCGAGCCGCCACGGTGAAACATTCATGACCTGCAGGCCAATGTGAATACTGAATCACATTGGCTGAGCTCTGTCAGGGGAAACATTCCTGCGCCATGATTACGGCATGCGGGTCGCATAACAGCTTCCAGGTGTGAATCTCATCCTACCGGAGCGGAAACGCAGGTGAGTCCACTGGGCGCCTTGGTAAGAAGACCAAAGGTCATTTGAAGGCGGCTTAAAAAGCCAGATTCCGCCTGTTGTGGAAGAGGCATCACTCTCAGTGACACACCAACTCTCGTGACAAGCAAGCCTTTGTCGATATTCCTTCTATATCCACTCCTTTTGTGATCGAAAACGCAGGATCGTCTTTCTTCTTTTCATCCCTTCCCTCTTTGGGCGCCATTGTTGCTGCTTCAGGACCACTCTCGAACTTCACGAACAGTATTCACACGATTTTGAAGAGTGTCAACTAATCAAGCCGTGCCATCATCACTGCACAAAGCTCTTCGACTTTTGCTCGACTTAAGTTCTTCCCAGTCTTTCGCTTGATACCCACAAAACGCTCTACGGCTTCACTCTTTTAAAACGACATACCCACGATGTACACGAAATGCATTTCGCTACTCGCCCTGGCTGGCGCAGCACAAGCGCATATGTCGCTCTGGTACCCTGGACCTCTGGGTGGTACTAAGGAGGCTAACAAAGCTTCCACTGACGTCGACCCGGAGCTCAACTTCCCTCTCGGTTGCTGCGATAGCGAAGGCAAGCCCACTGCTCCTAGCCCTGGTGTCTGCCGTGGTCACCTCGACCTCTTCGACACTGAGGATGCCCAAGTCACATGGCAGCCAGGTCAGGATGCCTACTTCCAGCTCTCTGACTACACTTACACTGCCGACGCACCTGGTGGCACTCACTATGGTGGCTCTTGCCAGGTCGGCTTCTCTACCGACCGCGGCGAGACCTGGAAGGTCGCAGCTTCCTACAACGGCAACTGCCCTCTTCGTGGTGAGGATGGCTCACCTGAAGTGCAGACATTCGACTTCAAGGTTCCCACTGGCATGCCTGAGGGCAAGGCTCTCTTCGCCTGGGTCTGGTTGAACCGTAGCTATGCCCAACCTTATGGCAGTGTAAACATTGCTAACTATTACACAGGAGAACACGAGTCATTCATGAACTGCGCAGCTGTTCAGATCGGCGAAGGCTCTGGTAACACCACGACTCCCACCAACCCTGCTGCACCCTCCGTCTCGGCGACCAAGCCCACCAAGCCTTCTAGCTCAGCATACCAGCCCACTCAGCCCGATGACAAGGACCAGTACTCAGTAGCACCCGCGCCAACCTCAACTCGCGCTGTTAGCCGTCCTTCCTACCCTACTGCATCTGCTTCGCCATCTCAGCCTGACGACGAGGAGTCCACTGAGGAACCGTCCTACGATGCTCCCCCTGAGGATAATTCTGAGAACACTGAGGACTCTTCTGACGAGGAGGACTCCAACAACGACTACGAAGAGACCGACAACAAGTGGTCCGGAAGCCCTGGCCGCTGGAACTCTCGCCGCCACCAGACTGTCAAGTATAAGATGATCGACGAGCACAAGTGCAAGATCGACACTGTGGCCAAGCGTGCTGAGTGCAACTGCAATGCGTCCAGCGGTTGCTCAGCTCAGAAGCGAGCGCTTACTGAACGCAAGGCTCTTCGCATGGCCCGCCGCGATGCTCTCAAGAAGCGCGCCGATGCTTGCGCCTGGGATTCTGCCCCTTCCATGGTAGTCTCCTACTACACTGTCGACGCTGCATGTGCGCCCAACGCTAAGATGAACGTCCCTGAGTCCGACACGTTCGAGATCGGCTGGAACGAGTCCTGCGGTGTCGTCGAGGGCGACGGCGAGTTCCCCATCAAGGACATGGACTGCAATATGTTTAGCTAGATGCTGACACAAACTAACACTTTGCGCATGATTTCTTTCTACTACATACCCCTTCTTCTTTCAATTCTCTTGTTCACACACTTTGGGCACGGTCCCACCCATTTCTTTTCGACGTCAGGTGGTCGCACAAAGCACCCAGTTACCGGTCACTTTCTGCATCTGTCACCTGCCAAAGAGGTAGTGACACGAACTGCGGGTGCGTTTGCCCTACAGCTCGACACTTTGGTTTGACACCGGGGAAGAAGGGTTGTGGTTCCTTTTGGTTGCATTTACTGGGTACATCGATCACGTCTCTCATTATCTCATGATGATTGGGCATGGTTACAAGGAAAACTATCTCTAGATACACATGAACAGGCAACATTGCTATGACACAACTTAAACCTTCATGTCTCCACCCTCAAACATTGTCGTGTCTCACGGGCACATCACCTTTGAACGACTAATATGATTTTCCCCAACACGCATTTAGAACACGTCATTATCACGCATTGCGTAAGTGAATGGTGGGTTAATTATTCATTCATTTGCTAATGGAGCCGCCACCCAAGGCAGCGGGCCCTATCGAGAGCGCTCTATTGCAAAGTCGTTACGTCGTAAGATGTCCAGCCTTTAAGAAGCCTGTCCGCCCTTGCGGCCGGCCTCCTTGGCCTTCTCGGAGCCAGGCTCGAAGCTGCCAGACGAGGCCTTTCCACCTTGAGAAGCGATCTCGCGCTTTGTAAGGTCAGTACAGATTAAGGCAATCCAAGTTTGGAGGATTACATACCTGCTTGTCGGCATCCATGGAAGCGAAGCCGCCGTTGTGAGATGCCTGACCACCCTTCGAGGCAATGTTCTGAACCTCCTCCTTAGGGCGGTTGGCGAAGTTTCCGGGGTTTCCGTTGTCGGCCATTGTGATGTTGTTTATTGATATGCGTTTGGATGCTGAAAGGCGTTGGGAGATGAGTTGTAGAGGCTGTTGGATGCTGTGTTGATGCCCTTAAATGGAGGGTTACTGTACACTTTATATGCTGTCAGACCCTCCACGGACTGGAACCTGTCATCACAATACACCCATCAAAATGACAACATTGATGTCAACAACCCCTTTGTCCTCAGGCACCTTCCCTACCACCCTGCATCATCATCAGCTCACACCGGGTCCGTGTTCCCCACATCGGCGCTGTCACAAAGCGATCCGACGCAGGTCGCGATCTTGACATGACATCTAGCGGATCGCATCTGCGAATCTCATCGCATCGTGCAGCGGGAGCTAGGGCATCATGAAAGAGGCTTGCAGGATGGGGAGAGTGATGTGTGGGGTGTTGATGTAGAAAGGAGTGTGTTGGCGTCATGGGAAATTGAAAGGAGGCTAGTCCTGTTCCTGTCTGCCACTTGGTTGAACGTCACGGGATGACGTGAGAGCATGGACGCGATGACGCGACGAGAGAAGGACCGAGCCTATTGTGGTTTCTATGGACAAGGAAACATGAAGTTGAGAAGTTTGGTATCGAAGGGTTGTTATTGTGACTGCATGTTCACGACATTGCGCTCCGCTGGCGTCATGAACAGGGTGTCGGAGGGAGTGAAGATATCCACCGATTGCCATCTGTTTGCTAGCGGTCTGCTGCACTGATTGTCCAGCTCATTTGGTTAGCTCGGTTTGCTTCCCCACCCCTTCACTGCTATTCCCTTCTACTATATTATCTTGATCAATTCCTGCCAATAGCTCTTGAGATCAATCAAAATCTAAACCCTTCAACACAGGGAGATACTCATGATTGCGCCTGCACGACCTTGAAACCTCAATCCTGAGGATTAACACACTCACCTTTTCCGAGGGACCTCCTGAGGATGACAAAACTATGTAGTTCGCGAGCTCTCGTTTTTAATTCGGGGCGACTGGACCTATGCTGTCAGCATTGAGCAAGCCGTCCGGGCATTCCTATCAATGCCCGCCTTCCCACAACTCTCAACACAACAAACGCGCTCTCCAAAATCACCAATAACAACGCTTCTCCCATCCTTCTTGATACCAGTATACCGTATTAACGACCCAGCACGTGGCAGCCCATCCTCACCAAGCCAAAGTGGGCTGCCAGTGTCATACTCAACCAGCCAGTGCTCCGCAGTCAAGCAGAATCGCCCAACATGCAGACAAGAGCAGTGAATGTCCTCTGGGATCTTGTCAGCTTCGACGTGAAAAGAAATACTCTCTTTCAGAGTATGAAGCTCGTCGGCGCGAAATGTGGGGATGCCGGTCATTGAGACGGGTGCTACGAGGGCTGTTAGTGTGAGCGTCTCTTCATTTGGAAGCTTCATAACGATGCTCGTGTCGACCTTCTTTGATCGTGAGTAGCGGTATTGGGTACCATAGAGATGCATGGTCTGCGTCTCTGGATTTGTAGCTGTGTTGTGTGAAGTTGTAGTTGATTGTTGCTGCCCTGTGTACTGGGATGGAGGTTTTTGATGATCTTATGAATTGTGCATTGTGCCAAATCTTAGCTAGCACGATGCTTGTTCGTGAATAGTGTACTACTGTCAATACGGGTCCGCACCAGAAGAATTGTGTTGTAGTGTCAGCTAAGTAGAAAGATTGGTTCGAGAACATGCCCACAACTATACAGACTCCGTGTCAAGAAAGATAGGACATTGGCCGGCGCCAGACTACAATTCTGCTTTCTGTGTTTTTTTGTGGCTTGTCGAGCGAGCAAATGAAAACAATCACACTTACGAACAAACATCTCTCCCCAATCCACTGTATACCTCAACGCTCAACACACACCATCCTCGCACCTTTCTTTCCAAAGCAAGCAACACCTTTCCCATCTCTCATCACCCTCCCGCAATACACATGCCCCTCACAATCCTCCCTCTTACAGCTCCACCTCCTAACATCACCACCCTTCTCAAGCACATAGCACCCCCCTTCACACTTGTGTCCATCATAAACGTGCTCGCAGCGCATATCTGCCGGAAACCATGCGCTGATGATCTTAACGGTCTTTGGTGCCATATCGTCGAGGTGGCGCAGCTCGAAGCAGTCGTAATTGGGGTTTGCGGGATTGTAGTCGGATGGGCGGATGGTATATGTTGTGCCGACATTCTGGGCCTTGGAGGGGCCTGGGCGGGTGAAGATGGCTGGTAGCCAGCGAGGTGGTGGTCTTGGTGGACAGAGAACTGTCAGTGTGTATTTCGTGGTGTGTGGCTCCGTCTCGCCCAGCATATCAAAGTAAGGCCCCATCATGCTTGCAATGTGGCAATTATGTTGCTGGAGGCTGCCGTATCGTTGGTCGGCTCGGTGGCTGATTGCTTGTAAAAATTCTGAGTTCCTGAACGCAAGCTCGCGACGTGTGAGAGCTTATTGTAAGCAGGGGCAATAGCGCGCTCCGCACATTGCACCTGCACTGTGAAAATGAGAGAAGTGGCGCAGTCGGTGTGAGAGTGAGACAAAGACATTGACAGCTTGAACATGTGTGTGAAAGACAAACGGGTATTGATCTGGAACAAGCAAGCGGACGAACAAATAACGAGTGGGTTTCACACAATGTCCACGTATCTTCTCATGCCAACGTACATTGATTACAGTCTTAAACCTGCAAGTGTTGTGCAAAGCGTAGTCGTACAAATAGAATATTGGTGTACACTGGCTGGTCCACCCTAGACAAAGAAGGCTGCAGCAGCGCCCATTCCCGCCAAAACAGGTGCTATCGAACGCATCGGAGAAGCTGCGCCCGTGGCCTGGGGGGCTCCAGAACTGCCAGAGCTTCCAGCACTGGAAGTTCCCGATGCAGCTGTCGACTGTGCATCACTTCCGGTAGGTGTAGCGGCCGCCGAAGCGCTGAGCTTCTCCGTTCCAGCTGTGATGACGAGTTTGTAGTTGTTCAAGAAAAACTGCTCGTCGCCGCTCATAGTCACCGTGCTCTGTGGGAAGTCGCTGGGGCCGATTTGACTGGTGCAAGAACCCGTTACGGAGGAGCAGTGAGATGCCAGGATGCTGTTCTCCGCTTCTCGGTCTCGTGTGGTCGCGGTGCAAGTTGGGACCGCATTGCCGTTCTCCCGTGTGCATGCAAGATTCACAGTCACTGCGAAGTCACTTCCTGCGTCGGTTGCGGTTGCCTCGTAAGCCACATAGGTTGTGCCACCTACGGTCACAAGGTCGGGCCCGTTTCCATAGTATTCGGTCTCGATAGCATCTCCGTCGAAGGCCAATGAGAGGGTGGTGCGATCGTCTTGCAGAGAGACAACCGATGCAACGAAACTCTGGTTCGCATTCGCAGCTCCGGGTAACCAAATGGATGTAGTCAATTGAGCTGTTGCGACTGATGCAAGTAGAGTAGTCGTAAGAAGTCGAGACATGGCTAGAAAGTCAGGAAGATATCTTGTCAATTGTGATGGCTTGCAAAAGAGACAGAATGGACGGTGTTGAGTTTGGCACAACGAGGAATCGCCTTGAGTGGGTGCGAGACGTTGCAAGCTCAGCTCAATGGAAGGGGCATCATGACTTACATATCCAGTCGTTAGGCTAGCGGCGCACGGCTGTCCAGCACATCTTGCAGACAGGATGAGCCGCACAGGGCGCCAATGGCTGAAATGCGGAAAGCTGGCAGAATCAGCAGCCGATGCAGCGTAGTCGCGTCTTGGTCTGGCCATTGGTACTTGGCAAATGATTGCCGGTTTTATTTGTGTTTCCACTCCATGTTCTTTGATTGGGTACAGTCGCCTGCCAGTATTTCTGAAACAGCACAGCCTTGGGCGCCTGACTTAAAGGCACGAGTCGACGCAAGCAACTTGAGTGTTCATAAAGCATTCGAGGGGAATTGGGAATGGTAGAGGCATCGAGAGATAAACACAGAGCCGATGCGACATTTTATGAGGCTGGAGAGATTCGGGCGACTATCGCGCACAGCATGCAGCAATCTGCTGCGCATAAGGCTGGCGAGCGTCGACGCAAAAAGTCCGTAAACACGGGTGAGCGGTACCGCGAGATAAGTTCGTGACGGGATTTGAAGGCTGCCAGAGTTGCTACCGCGCTAATGACGTAAGTGGTAAGCGTTATGCTCAAAGCTTCCAGCCGCATTTCCCCCAACCCTGCCTCCCTAAACCTATGAAGCAAAATTTAACTTTGTAAGTCCGATCTGTACAATCTTGGCCATGAAGAAGGATAATCTTCATGTACACGAAGCGGACTAACAAAAGTCACAAGCGCAGTGCATGAGCAGTGCAGCAAATGCTGTGTATTGATTCAGATTTCGAGGTGGGTATCAAAGCGCAAAACACAAAAACTTAACAACTACAGTGTCGCTCGTACGCACGGGATATGTGTCCTCCCTTTCCTCCTTCTCGCTGCCAACTCTCGTCACACAGCTGCCCTTGTCTCCGCACTCTGATCCTAAGTTCCTTACTTGTCTTCTCCATCCTACCTCTCTGGTGTGCCTTTTGTCGACAATAATCGTGACTTGTACAGTTATCAACTCTCAAGTTCTGTCGTAATGGTCGGATGCTTTAAGATGCTCCTTCAGGCGTTGTCGCTGGGGTCGCGGTACAGGTGAGTGCCACGGCGCATACCGCTCGCGAAGTTGTAGTCGTCGTCGTCATTGTCGCGAGCGCGGAGGAGCTCCTTCGACCAACCCTGGAAGGGCTTCTTGAGTGCTGACATGAAGCCATGCGACCGCTGAGTAGCCTGACGGGTCTGCTCTCCGGACATAGTGATGGAGGAACTGCGAGAGGAGTATGGTGATGGAGTCGACATGGTTGATGATGAGAGATGATGATATTGTTGTTGTAGGTTGATGGTATTGCTGATACAGCTGGGCCAAATGACTGTAAAGGCTGAACGATCAACAAAGCGTATAGTGAGTGCTTGCTTGAAATGCTTGAGATGTTTGTATACTGGAGCCACACTTTAATGCGAGATACCTAACAACTATATACTCGCACCAAAAAAGTGGGTCGCCTCGCTATCCCAACAACATTCACACCGAGTCATCGCCGAGCGGCTTCATACACTATGCTGCTGCACCAACATGACGCCAAGACGAAAACGTGCAAAACCTGTAAAAAGCATTGCATTTTTTGCTCGACTAGAGCTGTCATCGTCCTGATTTGTGCATTAATGCTGCAAACTTGCTGATTGGTGCGTGGCAAAAGGGAATGATTCGGAAACTCGGGGTTGCTCGGCGAGTGGAGATTCGGGAGAGGTCGGAAAACGTGGTATGATTGCAAGAATACCATGACTTTTACATATTATATGGAATGTTGAAAAAAGTGGAAATTGGTTGAATACCTCCTCGAGTACTACTGGGCGGTCCAATCAGACAATCCTCCAGACCCTGTCCACCAATCTACTCGCAGACCTCAAACATGGAAACCCTCAAACACCCAAATACCTCCCACAAACACAACTCCACGAACTGTCGTCCTTCACAGATAGCTGACTCCCCCTGGGTAGACCCAATGCACATATCCTCCGTCCCAACCACAGCCTCATCGATGCGAAAAACCAGGTCATCTCCGTCTTCCTCTTCACAATAATTCTCTTCTGAGAAGCTCCAAGACTTGCTCAAATGCCTCTTCAATTTTCTAGGAGTGATTTTCAAAACCCTTGCGGACAGCAAGAAAACTCCTGCACATCGGATAAGAATATTCCGAACCTCCATATCCTCTTTCAAGACTTTCCAAGAAGGCATTGGGCATGGAAGGTATAGCCACAAACTATCTTGCACACTGCTTCGATGGTGTGTTCGGTGCAGATTGGGCATGTGTCGTCATTGAAGCGGAAGTGCCATGGCACTTGGCTCTAAAGCCATTTTACGTCGGGACCGGAGGGAAGAGAAGGCATTTTAATTCCCTTGATGACTCTTCGCTTGTTAAACCACGGATGTGGAAAATGCGAACCACTGCAGAAATAATTCGAGGATAACATCATGTTTGATGATTTCCATGGTACGCTTCCTGTAAGCCTATATCCAACAGCATCATCTATCCAACAGCATCATCTATCCAACAGCATCATCTATCCAACAGCATCATCTATCGCAACAGTATCGACATCCCAAATATATCCGACTCACTCCAGCCTATAACGTCGGTTTTTCTACTATGATAGTGTTTTCGGTGTGGAGGTACACAAAAATGTGCACAAATACACCGCGCGTCCCTTGAGGTAGCCTGGAGGCATCCAGGATCACGACGTGAGATCCCGCTTCGGCGCATTACCGTCTGCTGTTCCCGTACCATACTTCCTCACGTGCTCTTGCGCCGCATCTTCATCCGCTTTAAACTCTTTCAATTCAGGCATCTAGATGTTTGACCACATTGTTCGCTTGCCATTTCTTGAATGAGAAGCCCAGGCCCTCGTGGCTACAGTCCTTCTCATTCGCCTGATCTTTGTGATACTTAATCTGCATAAACTCGCTGTCTCTGGTCGCCAGGTCTAGGCTCAAGCTCACGAGGCCTGTGATTGTGGCTGTCTTGGGGATGCCCCTGAATGCTCACGACTGCTTGTTCTTGAATTGAATAAGGTCATCGTCGGATCGAATGACTTCGTAGCTTTCGTTGGTGGAGGCCTTGAAGAGCTTGGGGAGCGCGAATTGTTGCCCGGCCATCTTGTAGCGGTCATTGGCGTACACGAATTGGTCGTCATAGACATAGTCGGGTGTATAGCGTTTCACGTGCTCGACGGCTGGCAGGCAGCTGTAGAGTGCAATGATCTGAGATTGTGTCAGTAAAAGTGACAGGCTCGGCGCTTTCAAAGTATATACATCATCGACAAGCCTCTGCCTCGCCGGGCTTAACTTAATGCTCTTCGAAGGATTTGGTTCGGCTAGCCGGCATGACGCACGCGGGGATCGCAAGGGGAAAAGCATAACACGTGAGATTGGAAAGCAGACACACTTGAGAAGTAACTCGCATTACTATCTACACTACACATTCGAGTAAAGACATTATTGTCGCCATTCACCCAACACCAACTTACAAGCCTTGATGCCAGCCGTCTCTACCACGACAGCCACATCATCACCTTTGAATTACCCCGTCGAGAACTGAAAATGCTCCATGGCTAGGCCATGCCCCCAAAGAAGTGAAACCTTGTGTAAGGAGTGTATGTGTGTACAACCCATCTATGCCAGGCGCGATATTGTCATTATACGGGTCTTTAAAAGGTAGTGTGTATGAAAGGAGAGTGAAGAATGTTAGAAGTGAAAACCCAGATGCAAAAGTTTATGCCAAGACGGCGAAAGCAACAGCACCAGCGACGAAAGCGCCGAAGGCCTTGTTGGAGCTCGCGGCACCAGTGTACTGCGGGGGAGCAGAAGTAGTAGCAGCAGGGCTGGAGGGAGCCGGGGTGGACTTGCTGGGGACCGGCGCAGGCTTGCTCGCGCTGGGAGTGGGAGTCAAAGCAGGGTAGGTCGAAGCAGGAGGGGCTGGAGGAGGAACGACCGGAGTGGACGCAGGAGGAGCTGGCTTGCTACTGTGAACAGCAGGAGTCGATTCAGAAGGAGCAGGGTGAGTCTCCGGAGGAGGAGCTGGCTTGCTGCTGGGAACGACAGGAGTCGATTCAGGAGGAGCAGGGTGAGTCTCCGGAGGAGGAGCTGGCTTGCTGCTGGGAACGACAGGAGTCGATTCAGGAGGAGCAGGGTGAGTCTCCGGAGGAGGAGCTGGCTTGCTGCTGGGAACGACAGGAGTCGATTCAGGAGGAGCAGGGTGAGTCTCTGGAGGAGGAGCTGGCTTGCTGCTGGGAACGACAGGAGTCGATTCAGGAGGAGCAGGGTGAGTCTCTGGAGGAGGAGCTGGCTTACTGCTGGGGACAACGGGAGTGGAAGCAGGAGGCGCGGGCTTGCTGCTGGGCACAACAGGAGTCGAAGCTGGGTAGGTGGGCACAACCGGCTTGCTGCTTGAGGGAGGAGCAGGCTTGGTCTCGCTCGACTTAGGAGGCACAGGATAAATTGTGGTGGGCTTGGGAGGAGGAGGAGTCTTGGAGTCCGAAGGGCAAGGAATAGTGGTGTTGTGGTAGATAGTGGTCGGCTTAGGAGGAGCAGGAGGGTAGTAGTCGCTGCTCTTGGGCGGGACAGGTGGGTAGTAAGTCGAAGACTCAGGGCAAGGAATGGTGGTGTTGTGATAGATAGTGGTCGGCTTAGGAGCAGGAGGGTAGTAGTCACTGCTCTTGGGAGGGATAGGTGGGTAGTAAGTCGAAGACTCAGGGCAAGGAATCGAGGACGACTTGGGAGGGACGGGGTAAACCGTGGTGGGCTTAGGAGGAACGGGGACGTAGCCAGTCGACTTGGGAGGGACCGGGTAGTAGTCAGAAGACTTAGGGGGGACCGGATAGTACTTCGAAGAGCTGGGAGGAGGGGGGTAGTGCTTGTCGTCCGAAGTCTTGGGAGGAGGGTGAGGGTAGTACTGCGAGCTGCTCTCGGGGCAAGGAGTGCTTGTCTCCTTGGGAGGCGCAGGGGGGTAGTACTTGTCGCCCGACTTGGGAGGAGCGGGGTGGTACTCGCTCGACTTGGGAGGGACGGGGTAGTAGTCGCTCGACTTAGGAGGGACTGGGTAGACGGTTGTGGGCTTAGGAGGAGGCGCAGGGTAGTAGTCGCTCGACTTAGGAGGAGCAGGAGGGTAGTAGTCCGAGGACTTGGGAGGTGGGTGAGGGTACTCAATCGATGACTCGGGGCAAGGAGTCGTGGATGGCTTCCATGGTGGGTACTCCTTGTCCTCAGAGGTGGGCTTAGGAGGGTAGACAGGGTAGCTCTTTACGTCCGAAATGGGCCTAGGAGGATACTTGTCATCCTCAGACTTGGGAGGGTAAGGTGGGTAGCCCTCAGAGTATGAAGGAGTCGGGCAAGATCCGGGGTGAGCCGGGTTGCAGCCTCCAGGGATGGATGTCGGCTTGGGAGGATGAGGCTTCTCCTCAGACTTGATGGGGTAGGGTGTGTAGTGCTTGTCCTCGTTCGAAGACTTGTTAGGAATCGGGGGGTACCAGACCTCCGAAGTAGGCTTGGGAGGGTAAGGCTTCTCCTCAGACTTGATGGGGTAGGGTGTGTAGTGCTTGTCCTCGTTCGAAGACTTGTTAGGAATCGGGGGGTACCAGACCTCCGAAGTAGGCTTGGGAGGGTGGGGCTTCTCCTCAGACTTGATGGGGTAGGGTGTGTAGTGCTTGTCCTCGTTCGAAGACTTGTTAGGAATCGGGGGGTACCAGACCTCCGAAGTAGGCTTGGGAGGGTGGGGCTTCTCCTCAGACTTGATGGGGTAGGGTGTGTAGTGCTTGTCCTCGTTCGAAGACTTGTTAGGAATCGGGGGGTACCAGACCTCCGAAGTAGGCTTGGGAGGGTAAGGCTTCTCCTCAGACTTTGTGTGGTAAGCCGGCGCGGGCTTGTAGTAGTCCTGTATCCATTAGCGTCCAGTGCTGCTATCTTGAGGCTCTACTGGTATTTACGGGAGTCGAGGCAGGATAGCCGTAGTCATCCTTGTACTCCGCGAATGGGGCAGCGACAGCCGCGCCCATGAGGGCGAATAATGTGGTAGTGACCTTCATCCTGTTGCCAGTGACGGTTGGTCCAGTGCTCGAACGAGTGAGGCACGGGTGGTGAACGAAAGTAAATGTGCAACCGTAGAGAGCGAGTTACAGCTGTTGCTGGAACGACCTTTTATGGCTGATGGGAAACAGGTCAATTCGAGAGGGGGAGTCGATCCTAATATGCATCTTCTGGGTGAGCCACTAAACACTCACCCACCCTTCTGGAGCTCCATGCAGCTCGAACGACGGTTAAGGTTGCATACGCTAGGTAACGGGGTGGAGAAGACTCCGACTTCGTTCCTTGATAGTCCCTGGGGCTGGTGATGCTGGTGATGACCTGCATCTTCCTCCACCGACGGCAAGTTCTCGTAAGAGTGGGTCTCGTGGTATGTGGGTGAGAGCACGCTCGCTCGAAAAGGCAAGCACAATGCAGCCGAGCTTGGGATATGATAGGTCAATTGCCCTAGCAACTCGTAAAACCAACTTTTGATAAAGCCAATCATCAAGCCGGAAGGTATCGGCATGCATGCAGCAGTCAGGGGATGCTGGTGCGTACTGGGACGTGATGAGATGTAAGCCATCGAGCGAACACCATCTTGCCTCTCATGCTGACCATTCTGCAAAGATATGGCAGGGCTCATAGATTGCAGGCATAATTTGCTCTGCACCATGGAACGCACACTTGCCACCTCATAATTGCTATTTTAGAAGGGTTCTCGCACCGTGGTTGCTGATATTGATTATGGTGGGGACGTTGGGTCGTGTTTCTTCTCCTGCACTAGTGTGAGCCCTATCAGCAAGTACCCGTACTAGAGCCTTTGAAAAGCCAAGCTATGATATAACCACAGCCAAAGTCACGATCGGCCATCTGGGTGTCCAAGAAGCGTGCACTGCCGTTGCTGAACCGAGGGTATTCACCAGTTTCGAAAAGCTTGGTGTCTATCAATAGCAGCACCTTAGGATGAGGCCGATCCGGTGGATAGGATTTACCGCGCTATGTGCGTTCAACAGTTATGAGAGGTATCGCGCTCCAGCAAGTATTGCGGAGGTTATCGATAGCAGCCTGACGGTGTATTTTCTTACACTCACGAGGCTCTTTTGGCCAAGTGTGTCACCAAAGCCTCCCGATCATAACGTGCTGTCGATGGGGAGAAACTTTTTCGTTCTAGAGCAAAACGTGCATGAGCGGGCTGGTTGCTATCGCGATGGCGGAAAGCCGTTGTCTGCGGCTCAAGTCCTTGGTCAACCCAGCCGATCGCTGGCAGGCATTAATATCGAAAGTTCGGGAGGTCCTGCGCCATGCAGCATCGTGGCTGGGACCCCTAGCAAGAGGTTGGGTATGGATACGACTGCGTGCTCTTGCATTGTCTATTCCGTCCAGCATATCATGACTTCACCAGCAACAGTGAATTGCGATTTGCAGTTCATGTGAAGATTTTTGGTCTGCCAGTGCAGACTTTGAACGCGCGTCGGCACGTTTGTGCCTGGTGTTCCTGCGCAGGACTTGCAGAAGCTTCCGGTGCAATTCTGTTAGGCCAAGTTGATCTCACTCTTATCGCGTGAGCGCCCCTCTCGCAACGGACAGCAAGCGAGCTGCTGTGAAACGCGAACTCAAAAACTGCACTTGTCTCCTAGGCTGAATGGCTTTTCTCTGTGCTTGCCAATTAGATAGCAGAACAATGTCGCCCCGGGAACTTCGAGACCACGAGATGTTGTGCACTCAACACACGGGTTGATCCCGCCCCCGCAGGCGCGTTGTGGGGTGGATTTTGTTGACTTGATTCTTCGTGGGGAGCTCAGGATATCTAGGTCGTCATCCTCATCCGCAACCAGAAAACCCATTTACGATCGCACATCGTGACGTGCCTGTATTGTCGACGAGTTATGCAAGTGATGCGTATTCGCACAGTCACGATGTCAATCGCCCAGAAGATGAATTGCACCTTTGGGGCCTTTGTTGCATTGCACCCTTCGACCTCTCATTTCAAAAGTTTCTCGCGCAGGGTGAACTTGCCTGGAAACTTCTCTGTGGGAGCCTTGCTCGCATTACTGCATCATGATGCAATGCTGTTTATGAAGTATTGAAGCGCCGTTTCGGTGCGTGTCCGTTATCGATAGCGTTTGATCGTGCATGGGTCCACCGGGGATGTTGTGTGTTCGAGGTTAGAACTTGGGTAAGATTGTCCGACAACGGCAAGGCACCTCGTGTTGTTGACAGCGCAGGATCAACAAGGGAGAAACGATTGATGCCAGACTGCGAAGGTCGCATGCATTCCTAATGAAATTTGAGCTGGGATAAGAGCAGCGCTGTAAAAGTCGTTCAATCATCGTCATCGCTGTCGGTAAAGTCGCCGTCCCACCCTTCGTCGTATTCCTCAGCAACCACTTGCAGGCCGTTGCAAAGCGCTTCTCTTTCGTCGACTGCCACTAATCGCTTCACAATCTGCTCAATTGCTCGCACTTGCTCAGCAACAGCTGTGCTCGTTGTGAGCCCAGCGTGGACAGCAAGCTTTTCTGTATGGCCGGATCCCACGTCAAAAATAGATGGATAGCTGTCGAGTACCGGAAATAGCAAGGGAGTGGTGTATCTGGAAGTTGTTAGTGCTTCCCGTATATCAATTGATAGATCGCGGTACACGCCGAACAGTTCAGCAAGATGGCAGACCGCCAAATGGCAGTACGCCAGTACATGACCACTTGATCCATGGAAAGATGAATACCCGAAGGAAACAACAGATCGGTACATACTTTTTTACTCCTGGTCCATCACCAAATTTGTCCCGAGGGTTGCGACCTGCATCATCTGACAAGCTCCAAGCCCCACGACACGCTTCGGCTCTTGCGAAGATATGCTCCTTCTTACTGCCTTTGCTCGACGCTAGCCTATAGTCTTTGGAAAACGCGTCGATGTCGAAGCTACTCAACTGGGTTTCGCTCTCGCTCGTGCGCCTTAAGGTCGTAGATCCAGCTTTCTCAGCTCTAGCGATTCCTTCCGTTGTCTTCTCAGACAAGACGTCCGGGTCGGCAATGCTCATCTCGAACTTGGCTATCCTTCGCTTCCCTGTGCTGTTGATGGTGTCCTCGATGTCTTGTAGGGTTCCGTGCCTGCCATTTGAAGTTCTCAACCGTGACGATATCGTCATGCTTTCCACGCCAGCAGCCTGTAGGGCACTCACTTGCCATGCCGAAGTTGCGTCGAAGGAAAGATAGTCTGGAACCTTAGTTGGACGGTTGGAGACTGGTATGTATACGGAAGACTGTTCAGCGAGGGGCTGAAGTGATCGTGACGAATTGACGATCTGCTGCAGGCGTTTCTCCTGTACCTTGTTAGAGGTATTTTTTATACCAAACCAGACTGGACACTTGCCCTCGGTACTGTTGTGTTTGCACCTTGGTCACCTAGGCCCCACGTCCAGATGCTGAGCTTTCCATACTCATCCCTCAACCGCTCGATCCAGCCTGATGCCCATCCACCCCAGGCATCATCGACACCAGTCATGATCTGCAAGCCTTGCAGGCCATCGCACTCTTCAACGAAAAATCTGAGATCTCTGTCCACTAGGTCCACTTCCCTTTCAAGCTTTTCGAAGAGGTCCATGCCAACGTCCCAACTCTGGAAAGGCATGAGCCTGTCATTCACATCGAATTCGGATAGCTGAACGATTGACTTAGGGTGATAGTAGACTCGGCTATAGTCGGACCAGTATTTGACAGTTGAGGTACTTAATTGAGGTGGTTCCAGGCCTGCGTCAAGGTGTTGCTGGTAGGTGGACTGTGGGATTGGTTGGGCTCGCTGTACAATAGGTTTCGATGGCCATACTCCAGTTTGATCTAGTATGCTTCTGTCATCTTCAGCCTCATACAGGGCATTGATCTTTCTCATGCTCCCAAACGCGCCCTTGAGGTCGTAGATGAGCGCTCTTGGGGTGAATGTGTCGGACCCATCAGGGGCGACTCCAGCTCGAAAGTGAATGTCATGATCGACAGCTGATTCAGGCTCGGGCGGATAGGTAAAGTAAGACTCCTGATACAAGGTCAGATCAGAAATCCTTAAAGGATTGCACAGTCTTTCGTGGGCGGGGTTAATGGATGTCTAGTATAAGATGGGACGGCCTCGTATACGAACATGACGAAGCGTGATAAGTACGCGGCCTCCCCACAGACATGCATCAAAACAGACTAAGGACAAGCCAAAGAAGTGCAAATAGACCGGACCAAAGATTTTTCAGGTCAGCAGGTGTGACAGCTTACCTGCGTGTTCCAAAAGTGAGTACCGAGATAATTGCTTTGTGAGCCGAACTGGAGGGTGACGATCTCGTGCATGGCGGCGGCGGCGAAGCTTGTGTCAAGGGACTGACAGCAGCACAACAACGACAACAGTCGAACTGCGGCAGCGAGGTATCTTGTATCGAGTATGATAGGCTTGTCAGACGGCGTGCATGCAGGTGGGCTGCTGAAATGAAGTTCTGACAATTTGACAGTTGCCCCACATGTGAGCGCACGCTCGATAATCTAGAAGAAGGCATGATGACGCGCAGCTCCACAAACACCGCAACCACGGCTTGCAACTGCCACCAGTACACGCGATACTTCCTGCTGAGTTTATTCGTTTCTACTATCGTATAGCCTTGCGCCTTTCGCTCACCTCGATATGCCTTTCTAATCTGAAGGAAAATAACTTGTGTTGGACTACCCCGCTACCTTCACTCCGGAGCTTTCGCTATTTGGTGACAACGCCAACAAAGAGCTTCTCTGCGAGAACTAGCTAGCAGACCACCTGATCCGTTCAGCTCGCTGCTGCTAATTGCAGAAGTAGCTCTTCGGTCACAAACCACTGCTTTCGAGTTTCAGTAACGTCTCGCACACGACCACGAACAGCAATATGATAAACCATCTATGACAATCTCTTGGCACCCACACAATGCTACGTACCGACAGCTCTGCGTTATGCATCCTGTAATTTCAGGCACCATGGCATATCATCTTGGCGCACACCCGGATGCTCGACAGCCGGGAGCCTCAGGCAGATGTGTACGCCTCATGCGCCAGATCGTAGCACAGATGACAATTTATGGTGACCAGTAGGACCGGTGCATAGCAACAGGACGAGACCACAACCAGGACGCAGTTGAAGATGCATATAAGCTATCGTATAAGCCGTGGTGGGTTGACTGCTCAACATCCACACTCTTTCATTCTAAGTTCGAGTCACTCTTTCAGCTACTCTCCTCCTCAACCAAGACGTCTGTGACGTCTTCCAGCCCTTTGTTTCTACTTTCAGCTCTTCAACAGTTCTTTCACAATAAATCAGCCCTTAGTCACAATGTCTACTAAGATCCTCACCACTATCCTGCTCGCAGCCGGTCTCGCAGGTACGTGGTTCCAGCCCATCATGCCTGCAAACCTCTACGATTTATTGTCACTAATACGTATGACAGCATCCAAGCCCATAGCCAGCCCTCATATCCTCCAAGATCTTGCTCGCCGCCAGGATGTACCAGCCAAAATCGACACCTGCGCGAGCTCAGGTTCCCGCATGATATCCGCTCTTGCTACCCTTGAATCTAGAGCCCAGGAGGAAGTCGTTCAGATCAACGCTGACAACTTCATTATCGTCAACATCGACGTCAACAACAAGGACAACCGGGATAGAAATGAAGACAGGGCCAAAGATGGAAAGGAGGACAACGCTCAGGACAATAAAAACGCCGATGCCAATGCAGCCCGCGAGAAGGAGGAAGACGCGGCTGCTCAACAGCTCATGCTCCAGCAAGTCAACAGAGCGCTTCTTGCCGATCAGCAAGCCAATGCTGCAAAGAATGAGGTGGACAATGTTTTACGTGCGATGGCCCTCGCGCAGAAAGAGCCACATAAGAGCACTGTCCTCTTAGTTGTGCAAGAGATTAAGATCAGCATCGAGATCGAAGTCCAAGTCGATGACGAGAAGAAAGAGAAGAGGAAGATTGATACCAGTGTGTTCAAGCAAGAAGCCATTGTAGCGAACCCGGGGCAAGCAGATACGGAGACCGTCATGGGTAGGCATCATCTATGCTCTTCTGCTGTCAACTGTTGCTAACGAGCATCGTAGTCTACGACCCCCGCACACTGACTGCTACCGACGTCCCCGCCAGCCCTGAGGCTACCGATGCCGCAAACGATACTAAGCCTGCTGAAGTACCCGCCTCGAAGACCGTCGAAGCGGTCCTCTACAATACGAGACCTACGTACACAGCGATCGCCGAAGACCCAGCGGCTATGATGCGCGCAGCCTTGGAAGCTGCCCTCGAAGACCGACAGAAATATGAGAACCGCGCAAAAGATGTGGAGTTGAACGTCGAGATTGCTGTAGAGATCAAGGTGGAGATCGAGAAGGACCACGGACAGGACAACGGACGGAATAATGGCAGGAACGACAAGGACGATGGTAAGAATGACGGAAAGAACGATGATGACCGAAACGAGGACCGCGAGCGTGAGAGGCAGGAAAAAGAACAGCAGAAACAAGACCAAGATGAGAGGGAGAGGAAGCAGGCTGACCAGCAGCAGCGAGAGCAGGAGAAGAAGCAAACTGAAGAGCAAGATAAGGCCAACAAGGACGTAGAGAAGAACCGGAACGAAGCCCAGGCAAAAGCTGAGCAGAAGGCTAAGGCTGAGCAGGAGGAGGCTCAGCGCAAAGAGAAAGCCAACGATGACGCCAACAAAGCCAAGGAGGAGCAGGACGGCATCAAGCTCACGATCGTGCAGTAGAAGATGTGCAGCAGTGCAATTGAGAGGTGAACAGGCGCTGAGCGAAGACAAGCATATCTTGACATACACTACAAACGTATACTCATTATACCAACATCCATACTAAATCCAGAGGGTATACACCTAACATGCCACAATCATTACCTTATAAACCAAGATGAGGACGCCTTTTACCCAATGCCACGAACCGTGGAAGAACAGCGCAATGCAGCGCTGATGTCGCTAAAGCAGAAGCAATCTCATGCCGTAACCCAAAACGCAGAAGCCGTGAGGCAAGTTTAGACACCACCCATAGCTACCTCATGTCCTTCCAAGAAATCCGCTTCTTCGAAGTCACTCGCATGCCCCGCCGCCAGCCTGCCTTCGTGCATTCCCACACTCTCGAAATCCATATCCATATCCACATCGCCTGCTGTCAGTCTGCCCTGCCGTCTCGACTTCGGCTGTGCGAACTGTCGTTGTGGTGGTAGACTCGGCGGCGGCGACTCTGATAACGGGCTGACAGGCACATCCTCCTCACCTCCCAGCGTGTTCGGTATGCTGAACAGGAAGTTGCTGCTCCCTAAGCGGAAGCCCGGCTTATCGTCCTCCTCGTTCCACCCCCGTTTCCCATGCGCGCGTTGAATGTCTGTCCCATGTCCTGAATCCTGACTCGAGAACGGCTGCGAGAATGCTTGTGTGGGAAGAGGGAAAGAGTTCGTGGCGCTGAAGAGATGTGGATTCGTCGTTGGTTGCTCGGCGTACCCGCCTATCTTGTTCAAGCCGCAGAAGGGCAGCAGTTCGCGCTGGTGTTGCAGTGTGGAGGCGAGTGTGTCGACGGGGATTTTCATTGCTTCGAGCGTGGGGTTAGCTTCTCGGAATGCGTTGTGTGGTTTTCGCAGAGGTGTTTGCGCGGTTGTGGGTTGCAGAGAAGGCAGAACGGTCTTCGGTGTCTTGTAGCCCTCGGGCACGGATTTGCGGACGCGCATGCCGACGGTGAGGAGCGAGGATTGGACTTGGTCGGGGAGTACAGGTGCGAGGGTTGGGTGGTGTGGTTTGGCTTGGGGGATGTGTCGGAGCCTAGGTCCTCCTCGCTGGTAGTCGTTGTCAGCGTCAGAGGAGTCGTTGTCGGAGCAGTCCTGTGCTGTGTGGAAGTAGCTCGTGATAGACGGCTGGAACTGTCTCTTCTTCCTGTGCTGCTCGGTCGCTGTGTGGTGTGAGAGCGGCATGGTAAGCAAGGGCGAGGGGTCGGCGGTAGTAATGCAGTGCTGCAGCTGCAGGCGAATATGCAGTGTTGCTTTAGGCGTAGACGTGCCGTGGTGCAGGTGGGGGACTTTCTGACCTGCACGGTTGCTGGCCGCGTGCACTGACCGGAGGGGGGCGTTGATGCCCACAGCTGCCGGGAGATGTCGAATCAGATGGAGCCGTCTATGCGCGTCGAGGATCCTCCAGCAATCATAAATTGGATCGAGGGGCGGGCGGGAAGGTCTTGACACGCCGATGCAGATGTTGGGGGATGCAGTGTGCTGAGGATCGTGAGAGCGAGGAAATGAGGGTGGAGAGGGCAGGCTGGAGGTGATTGCGCAGTCGATTGCTTTCGGATGACGGCAACGGGCGAAAAGAGGCTGCAGATCTCTCGCGGTCTTACCACGACAATCGCCGCTAGGAATTCGACGCGTTGACGAGCTTTGTCTTCTCCCACACCAGATTCACAATGTTTTGGCAGATACCGTCGTGTGATGTTGGTAGTTACTGCACGACACAGTACCGCCGGCATCTGCAGCACGTGGGAGTTATATCGAGCTGCCGCGCTACCTGTCTCACAGTGCTTCCAGAAGTCTCAACGGCTGTCCTTTCGTGTCTTTGTTTCTCCATCTGGCAAGTTCCACGACAAACAATCGCCGATTAGCACCACACGCGCTGGTTGTGTTTCAAGATACTCTATCTCAGACAACCGCCCCAGCTTGACTCAATGTGTCTCTGTCGTCATGGCTGTCGCAGGTGTTAAGTACCCACTGCTGCTGGTATCTGCTCTGATGGCAAGTGCCGAGATCTCAATGCTTTCTTCGTGTCTTGATACAATCGCTACGACAACGCGCTGCAAAGACAACAAAGACTTGTCTCGTGGAGCTTGACGAGAGACACTAAGCTCACCACGAGTCGCAGAATAGAGCCGAATGCTTACAAGTCTTGCCGTGCATTGTGTTCTATCGCGCGCCAGAACCAAGCTAAGACCCACGACTCGCGCTTGACTAAGCCTTATCACGACACAACGCTACCGTGCTTGCGGGAGCGACTGTGTCGTGCATGAGCATTGTTGCTTCCTCGATCTTCGCGCACACATCACGATCGACGCCAGGCTCGCAGGCCAGAATGAGGACACATGGCATTCTGCCCTAATGCCCATTTGGTTCTTCTCGAAGCTCCACGCGTCTCGTCGCCATACCGTGACCGCCCAGCTTACCAGCGCAGCCATGGCAAGAAGCAATATGCCCTGCACCTATGTGCATTGTAGACAGAGATGATGGTTTCGGTGACTCTGGAAGACGACCTGTATAGCATATAGCATCACCTCGCGCAACTGACAGCAGTTGTGAAAAATTAACTAAATATACGGTTTTGCCAACGTTTTCTTTCACCTACGACCATAAGACGTTGAAAACAAGTTCTCCTGCCCGACTCGCCGTCTGTCGTGGGACCGTTTTGGGGATGCTGTGATACGCCTTCCCATTCTCGGTAACCACGCCTCTGGCGAGCTAGGCTCCATCTTAACCAATTTGCTCCCTCTCTCGTCATAACGTGAACACCAAACTGGAGACAAGTTTCTGGTCTGTGAATTTTACAATATGCCGACCTCCGACATGCTGCTGACTGCGATATTTTGCCGGCGCCCACCTATAGATCGTTTCATCCGCTCGCTCCCCACTGCTCTGCCTTTACGACGAGCAAGACGCCGCAACAACTCAAGACCTCTTTCTTTGCCGCCATGATGAAAAGGAAAGCAGGCAGAGCGATCGATCTTGAGGCATTCAAGAAGCGCGCTCGACAGGAGATAGCGCCACAACCTCTCAGCTCTGAGGATATCAAGAGAGCCCTAATAAAATCCAGTCATGACTCCTACAGGTTTACAATGGAGCAATGGTCATAGTAAGCTCTACACCGCATGGTTACAAGCGAAGGAAAGATAGCTGATTGGCCGCTAAGCTTCTCGGAAAATGTCCTAGAGAAGCCGATGGCTGAGCAACGTTTTACAGAGGCACCTACGACTTTTCAGATTAAGCTTTTCCTTGAATGGTTTGCTCAATCCCGCACTGGACTCTTAGAGGACTGTATCACCGACACCACCCTCCTTAACCGCTTGAATAGTCTAAAGCGTGCCATCAAAATCCACACGCGTTACCAATACACACCATTCCAGAACCAGGAGATCATCAGCTTCGTCATGAAGGATCTTATCCCACAAGGCCTCCTATCAACAATTGCTCGCTCTAAGCCTCTAGCGCCTATCGAAGTTGCCAAAGATATTATCAGATTCCTCTTCGCTAGCGATGAGTACAAGCATCTACACCCTCGCATACGTAATCAGATAGCTTTTGCTATCCAACTTTTGCTTTTTGTTGGCGTTCGGCCTGGAGAAGTAGTTGAGTCAGATGCGTGGTATCGAACAAACGAGGGGCTACTCTACAAGGATATCGAACTTGTCCGCTCGTGGAATACTGAGCATCCTGGCTGGCGCTTTCATGTTGCGGTATCAGACTGCTGCAATATACGTTGCACATGAGCCTCAATACACACGGTTGTAACGGGTCATGTTTAGCACGTTTCAAGTCATGTATATACCGTCACCTCCTAGCTAGATATCAACACAGCGCAGTTTTCCATCGACCCGA